TCGGTTCATTAATTATTAATGAAATAATTTCTAACTGGAAGTTTATTTTTTTTTTTCAAGTTGCTAGGTTTTAATTCGTCCTGAGCATTAAAATGTCTGTTAATTATTTTGAACAAAACTAGTATATGTACCAAAAATATTCATTTAAAGTATTATTGAATATATGAAAACGCCAAACAATATATATATTAATGAACCCGATGATGAATCCAAGAAGAGTGTTAGAGGTTAGGCATTACATTAACAATGCAGTGAATTGAAGAACGAAAATTCATAGAACTAAGTTAACTAGCATAAGTTTCCAAAAAAACGCCACAGTTATATCTTTATAATCGCAACAAGTAGAAGTATGAAATGGTGACGAAAATCGAAGAGGTTGCAACATTCGTGCACTTATAGAAGCGTCCATAATTATAGGCATTGTGTGTTGCGTTAGATGTCGTGGCTAGTAAAGGATCAATATCGGCTCAAATGCGAATTTCGTAAGCCAGATGCGAGGTGGCCAAGTTGATCGATGATGCGAAGCGTGCGCGGTGCCGCTTGTCAATTACGCCCGACGGGGTTCAGGGCCCGGGCTGCGACGGCCCGTATCGGTGCCCAACTATCTGTGCTCTCTTGCGCAAGTTCATGTCAACAAGAGAAAACACACCGCACCGACTGATTTCGAGTTTTCAGACGCGATATTGCAACTGCGTTGCGCGATTCATAATTGTATATAATATCTAACATTCTACTGATACGGTAGAATCAACCGTTGAAATAAATCTGCGATAGCAACACAGTACATATTAGTACCAATAAGTTGCAGCATCGTATTCGTAATATGAATAGCTGTAAGGATAAGATAAATTACATAAATAACTAACAAAATTTTTTCATGCGTGTTTGAACGACGAAGAAGTTTTATAAATTAAATACCGTATGACAAAATCAGATATTCACTAAAACGACTTACCTACGTCAGATAAGATTCCGCATATTCGTATTTTTGAAGTTATGCTTCTTTTGGCGCGTTAGAGAAAAATGATGAGAGTAAATTTTTACGATGCGCGCGCACACCGTCACGAAAAACCGACACCCTGAAGCTAGCTACGTATGTTTGCGTGAGAAATGACAACTGAATTCACGATATTTATTTAAATAAACTTTATTTAACTACAGATAGATATTAATCTGACATTAGATATTAATCTAGATAACGCGTTGTAATAAAAGTTTTAATGTATTAAATACCTGTTTTCTATTGTTAGCATTTGGAAACAGTTATGAGATTAAAATTTATACCATGCGCGCGCACACTGACAGACAAAAAGCGATGATGAAGTTGGTTGCAAAGCGACCACGGCAACCAATAACAACCAAGTTAAATTCAATTCCAAGTTATTTAATTAAACCGTTATCATTTAATGTCCTTTTCACAAAGAGTGCTGGCACATGGTATAAAATTTTTTAGTTCATTTCTTTTGTTACTTTAAAGAAGTATAACTTCTTACGTGTTTTTATGTTACGTTACACACATGTTTTTTTAATAGAAAAATAAATGTTAAACTTCATTAATTGCATGATAATATTAGAAATAGACTATATAACAATTTTAATGTACACAAATTTCTTTGATTTTTATAAGTACATACATGTCTTCTCACCGTTTTTGTTACAATGTTGTCTCAAGCTCGGGCTTGCAAATTTAACGTCGAGCAGCTGCATCAAATTTCATTCTTAACCGACAAAAGAATCTTTACAGGTTGCTGCAGAACTAAAGGACGATCTCTCTTTCAAAGAAATTCACCTTCGATCCAAACGAACACCATTGCGTATGTCTCATTGTGAGCACATATTGTTGTGTAAAAGTTTTGAACAATGGCGTCAGCTGATTTTGCTAACGTCAAGGTATAAAGACTCGTAAGTTATCTTCCTTATCCTATCCTTATATTTATTTATTTTATAACATGATGAAAAAAAACTATTTTATAAGAATATACAAATTATAATAAGCTTAAAAAGATTATAGGGGAAAGAGGAACTCATGACTATGACCTAGAATTGACATCACAGGAAACAGGAAAATACAACTTGATACGATTATGGTTCTATTCATATATGGCAAGTTAAAGTGAGTGTTGCGCAAGTCAAAGTGACGCAGGCGTGGTTTAACATTACTGTTGTGGAAGCAGCTGTACGCTCCCCTTTTACCTGAACACCTATGTGCCGAGCACGTGTTATATGTGCCCTCGCTCTTGGATAAATACGATTTGTATTTTAAGTCCTTACATCCGGAGTTGACGCATGTACCCGCGATATTCAAAGTTTATTTTTCTTTGTACGCACACGCCGTTCAATCGCAGGTCTTAATGTAAGTATAAGATATTTCTGAGTTTAAATACATATTTATATTTCATTACCAAATATGAACACTGTTCATACACGGCTATCGGATCTTAGCACCTGTCAATGACTTCCGATAAATTTATTTGTTCTGTAACATAATCCTTAAGAGGTCCGGTCGATTCGAGCCCCAACAAAACGAAACGCATCCACAAAACCCACCGGTAACCAAGTTAACATGCGATCTTTACATACGTGTTTGCGTAGTTACTTATGATAATTAAAAAATTAATATTCATGTAATAAAATTCAGTTACTTCTCGACTAGATCAGAATTCGATCGCCAACAAAAGAAATCGGATCACAAAACTAGTGCATATTTATATTGAATACATTATAAACTCGTTTTCAATTGTATTCAACAAAATCATTGCGGAGCCATAAACGGGTCTCGTTTTTAGAGTCAACAAAATAAGCAATCGGAAGCTTGGGGCAGGTGTGCCCAATCCGTTTCCCAGGACGATATTAGTATCGTCTATTAAAAAAGTCGTTTAAGAATTAATTACCATAATATTTAAAGTATTAAGTGCTACTGGAAATGAGAAACCGTTATACATATTGATAAATTACCTCAATTATAATAAAACATGTTAAGGTCGCTGTGAGATACTTTTTTATTGATATTACTAAAAAATTACGCGTACCACGTAAAAATAAGATGGGCTCCAAATCTATTATTATTTAATGCATATTCTCTCAGATTTTACAATCATATTTAAATATCCAAAGTTGTTTCACTATTAGTCCTATTCATTATATTTTAAATGTATTTTATTATTTTATAGAATGGTCTTGTTAAGTGTAGCGTAGTGTGTAATTTGCGTCGGTTTATTTTTTTAACTTTACCGACTTTATCCGACTAAACGGCACTTTAATATAACCGAAATTAAGCGAAATTCGAATAAGAATATTTTATCATACTACAACAAATTGTTCATTGTTATTTTATTTCAACGACTATGTAGTGATTATTTGTAATTGTAGTATAATATATTGCTTTTAATAAAAATGTATACTTAAGAAGTTTTGTTTCGTAATTTTAAGTCCTAAATATCTGTAATGGCACTGATTATTTTTTTAACATAATACTCTTTTCAATTTGAAAAGAGAATAGTTTATCATGTTCTAGTAAATATTTCTTTATTATTTTATTTAAATGACTTGTAGTGATAATAGTAATTGAAGTTTCGAAATTTGTACTTTTAATAAGTAATTAAGTAACTGTAATTATACTGGTTGTTTTTTAATAAGGGTTTTCGTTACTTAAGTACATTTTATTCTATATTTTCCTTTTTCATTCACTTATACACATACATTTTCGGCACAAGAGCTTGAATTAACATAAGCTTAGCTGGCTAAAGATAGAAGAACTACTAACATTAGCCGATCCTTGAAAAGAAAACTAAGTTTAGACGACTAATCTTATGTTTATTTTCGCACCCATCTTCAGCCTACTAACATAATACATAATATATGTTTTAGTCTGCAAACTGAAGATATATACGATTATAGTGTTTCTATTATCTGTAAATACTTAATGTAAAGGAAAGTTATTGTTATTCTATGAAATTATTATTTATGAAAAGCTCTAAATAGTCTACAATATATTCAAAAGCGTCAAATGAGCCCATCAAATTAACTGTAACAGGAAGTACGTGTCCCATTTCAACGGACGTTTAACGGTATCATATCTCTATGTACAGTATATGGCTGAGAGTTTATGAGGATCGTAACTCAACAGCTCAACAGATGCGGTCTGGACCACATCTTCCGTCATCGGCTAGTGTTATTGTACGGAAATAAACAAACAATATGTGTGTTGTTAAAAATAGTAACTTCTTCTATTATTATAATAATTATTTGAGAAGGTAGCAAAAGAGGCGGCGCATCACATGATATTCAGTGATAACCGCCACCGCTTAACATTTGCAACAACCGGTTAAAAAGGCGTTGCCACCTTTTAATAAAGTGGACCCCGAGTACCTCACTCACTAGACGAATTGCAGAAGTAACACTTCCCACACTTCGTCTTCACGCCGGTCTTCTGTGTGGTTGTCGTACTTACCTGGACCGACCCGCCAATTCGAGAACCAGCGACTGTTGTGTGGCCCTACCAAAAATATGCAAAACTATGTTACTAATACAATGAGAGATTTGTATAAGCACTGTAATTGTAACATTGTATTTTGGATTATAACAGTAAGAAACCAACTAGAGTAACAAAGAATTTGGATTGGAAAATCCAGGTTTTCTGGTCACGACCGAACACATAACAACCATAATCATATCTGCTGATAAGGTCTAGTAACAATAATAATCAGAGGTCGGGCTTAAAAAGACTGCGACATGATTTCTACTTGAAATTGTAAAGCCCCTTCCAATGGCCTGATTTTATACACACAGTGTTTGTAAATAACTTATTTCTAATTATGTTTTAGAAGTTATTTTAATCTCAACTCTAAATACTAATTTGACAAATGACCTGTAAGAAACAAGAACCGTCCAACTCGTGTTACCATCCATCGGGCTCGAAATCACGCAAGCTAATTATTTTTCACACCGCGAGCTATCTAATCTAATCAGGTTCTGAAAGGAGCCGATGTGCCGATGTGCACATGTGTTTACTCGTGCGCACGTGTTCATTCATGTACTACGCGCTCTCCGAAGGGATCGCTACAGGAATAGGTAACATTAAGTATGCCATGAGTAAACAACACTCGTCGTCTCCCCTGATAATTTATAAAGAAAACCTTTATGCCCGCCTATCTTTCAGTTGCTCTAATGTTGTGGGGTCTTTTAATGTCATTGCGCCATCTACTTTACATGTTACTGTTAAATACTCACTACTACACCGACAGACGACAGAACGGACTCAAAGATGCGCATAAGTAGGTTATGTTTACAACACAGAGCCTAGTGTACTTTGTTATATTTTAATTTCCTACACGTACACGATCGTTCACTAAATTTAGTAATATGATTGAACTGGTGATAGCATCAGACCAATACGTTCATATTTTGTAACAACATGCAGGGAACATTAGCATTAATTTATTCGGCGAGGGTGTATCATGCCCGCAACATACGCGTTATTTGTAATTGTTGCGTTCGTTTCGGCCATCCCTACCGATACGGTAGGTCGCAATCGTCGTTAATTTCATTAAGAGCTTATTAAGCGGGCACGCGACCAATGACAGTTGGCTGTGGCAGGCGCGCAATGTAATCGAAAAACTTATGGACTGTAACGTATACATACATTTAACTTTATTTTCCGGGAACAAATGTAAACTTTTTAAAACATATATATATAAAACATAAAATATTTTTCAAAAAATCACAAATAATATGTAATTTGAATAGATGCGATAGATAAACATAAAGCGCATTAAGCTTAGGCACATTATTACTTTCGTGCATCGTACATTTAAAAATAACATCAGGAATTCTAATAAAATAATATCAAATTATGTAAATGCCATCGATAAAGGTAATATTACGTAATATGATCAGCGTTTTATTCTTTTGTATTGATAGCTTGTATGAAACAAAACATTAATTTGTTAATAAACAATTACAATACATGATCACGCAGCGGTCACTGGCGTCAGATAGCCACCCCCACACACGGGTCATGAATAATCCACAAGTTACGTCATCTTTGTTAAGTAACAACCAAACTAATTACAATAGAACATCACTATTATGCTCACTGCTAAATTATGATTGTCGTTTTATTTACATAGTGATAATTCTTAAGTTATATAAAAGAGGTATATAATGGGCGGAATTAATGCCTTATGGCATTCTCTACCAGTCAACTCTTGTCATGGCAAGTGCTAAATGAAGACTATAAAAATGAAAGTTAATAAATGTGCTCTAAAATATAACATAGATATAATTATAAATCTAAATTAACCACTACAATTAAAGTAAATTTAATCTGTATCAGATTTAACCTGTTTAAATGTCCATGTACGATCATCGACCACGATAAAACAAGGGTCATCTGGATACTTGAGGGCTCGCTTCGTAAACAGCTCTGCCACAGTTGCATTTTGCCGACCCCATCTCTTAGACCGGAAAATGGACCTGGCATACCGCCGCAAGAATCTGAAGATAAAATAGTTGTTTTAAAACATTATATGTTAGAACATAATTAATAGTTGTAGTTAAAGAATGGCTAAAGTAAATATCTAATACCTAAAGTAAATATTTCTTAAAGTCTGCTAAATGAAATTTTAACTTATTTTATGTTCCACGGTGTTTCCTTTGTATCCAATGCTCAGTACTAAATTAAAGTCGATATTGAAAGATATATGTATGTATTTACAAATACTTTTTCAAAGAAAATCACCTGGTACCATCCATACTAATATTATAAATGCGAAAGTAACTCTGTCCGTCTGTCTGTCTCGCTTTCACGCCAAAACTACTCAACCGATTTAAATGAAATTTGGTACACAGATAGTCTAGAGCCTGAGAAAGGACATAGGATATTTTTTAATTGGAATTCTTTTTAAAGAAAGATATTTACTTAAGGGCTTCAACGCGAGCGAAGCCGTGGATGAAAAGCCAATATAAGATTATATCCAACGATATGTATGTTCGATACATAGGTATCCAAAGTAACAACATAAAAGTGCTTTTTAATTTAATTTAAATCTTACTGTAACAAAAATTGGTCCTTTTCTTCTTTATCGTTTATTGTGTGCGTCCTTTTTTTGGTAAATAAATGTATTTTTTTTCATTATTTCTTTCTCTCTTTTCCGCTAATAGTAGGGAGATTTTAATTAAATAAAAAATGAGAATGAGACAAACCCACATAAAATGTGCAGATACGTTAACACGTAACTTGTTACAGTTATTGTAAACGTTAAAGCTTTCGGCCAAAGGGTCGGCGAAGTATTGTATCCGTTCGGATGTGGATTTCGCAATTGATATTATTAATAATAACGGTTCGGTTCCCACAGCTTCCAGAGGGGTGAGTTCTAGGGACCTGCCCGTTGATTTGTGTGTTATTGTTGACGGTGGTGCGAGCGGCCGCCGCACGCACTCCCACGACGGGGAACAGATGCCCGGGCTCCGCCACTGTCACTCGCAATGTTGTCTCACGAGTGACCCTCAATGGCGCTGCCTGTGGGAAATTGATTCCGGCTTGTATTGGGCGCTACCAGTCGCCGGATTGCACAATGCATATTAAGTTTCCGCGAAAAACTTATATGCAGCTAGATTAAACTGCGTGTTTTCTTTGCTTGAAAAAGAAGGCAGGTACTTGTGTCACGTAATTTAATTATCTATTATTTAAACATTGAAATAGTATGAACATAGTAAGAAGATTTTTCGATGAAATTAAAAAAAATCAGTATGTTTTTTTTAACTTAAACAAATTTTGCAATGAAATTGAACAAGGGGTACTCCATCACAAGCGGGCAGTCAAGTCTGCCACTAATGTTTCCACGCCGAAGACACTTCACTTGAATGATCACCTTTGTTCTCTTGGTAATAAATTGTGATACAACAAACAGACACTTGACCCGTCAAAACAGCGCATTATGCGGCGTATGCGGAATTAGCATAGATTTGCCTGTTGATGTCCGCCGTGAGACGCCATTGCATATGCGCCCGTCTCCCCCGCATCCCGTCCGCCGCCTCGTCGCCAGCAGATGCTCCATTAATATTTTATTACGCATCCCATTAGACGCGGTTGCCATATCGTCAAACTTTTCATCCACACATCTGTCTGCTGAAACATGGAAATTTATCAACTCCGAAAACATTTAGGGTAATATATGTGACTGCCAACAACGTCTACACAGTAGTCTATAACAGGATGTCTAGGCTCTAAATTCACTGAGGAACACAACTGTTCGCGTACGTGGCACATCTGGCCACTGTAATCTGAACGCATGAAATATACAGCGTGTTACCATCGTGACAATAAATGAACACACGTCTAACGCTACTTGCCAATAATCATAAAAAAATTTAACGTTAAACAAAATCCATAATTAAAAAAAAATATTTTTCGAACAAACTAATTAAGTGAAAAAGAAACAAAATTTGTAACATCCTTACAACTCGCGCCACAGCGTCGTGTTACAAGCCTCTCCTTCTAACAGTATGTTTTGTCTCCTATACAACTCGCGCCACAGCGTCGCATTACAAGCCTCTCCTTCTAACAGTATGTCTTGTCTCTTTTAAATTCATTCAACCCATTCATATGCTTTGTGACCTTTACAAATGAACTTTACGTTACAGTTTTATACGTAAGGGTGTTCTAAAATTCTTTGTTTTAGAAAATTTAATAACTCTGTAAATATTGATGTTTAGAGAATGTAAATGTTTAATATAGTTTTAAAAAGTTATCCCCTATATGTGTGTTCATTTATTGTCGCGATTGTAAAGACACGCTGTATATGATGTTGCTGAATCGACGCTCCGTTTCAGTTGATTTATCGGGTGACGTTTAATATTATTTTAATTTGTGTATTTTTTCTATAATGTATTATCTTACAACGTTTTTCTAAACAGCCACTTATTACATTGACAATAAATTCTTTCTTCAAAACTTTCGCCCAATAATCTATGTTCAAATATATAAAAGATATATACGTAACCGAATGAAGCGAAATTCATCGTTGAACTTTCATGCATGTCGATCTGTGCATAATGATACAATTTGAATAGCCTGTATAAATCACGAAAGCAGCTTCAGTTATCGAATGATAATATCTTCAATAACAAATGCTTTGTTTTTGCAACCAGGAACGAGATTGATGTGCAGCAATTACGGGATGCTCCTGGGCCATACATTTCAAATGTGTTGCATCGGAAACTAGCTTTTTCTTCAGTCTGCTATGCTAATTTGCAAATGGTTACAAATGGAACCATTGAACAACAATCCATCGTCCGGGAATAGAACTCTGTAAGAACAAAACAAATTGCTCATTGGCCACCCGGAATATTAAAAGAATTGTCTATCAAATCATTAAATAGCATTACGGTAGTGTTTCATTCATTCATGTACTGTTCATAATTTTATTTTTCTATTTGATTTTTATAAACTTGGAACACCTTTACGGATGTGAACACCTTTACGGATGTGTAGGACCAGGAAAACTAATCTTAGTAATTTAATAAGCAAAGGCGACATCTCTCGTTACAAATATTCAACGTTAAATGTTATTTGTTGTGTTAGGTGTTATATACTGACAAAGCCAGCAAACTGCAATTATGAATATGGAGATATCAAAATTTTAGAGTCGTGTATGCCACATTACCCAAAAACTCAAGTTCGAATCTCAGAACGCCGAAAGTTTTTTTTTCTATTTATCTATAAAATAATCATATCGAAATACAAAATTTGATTAAAATCGTTCAGGCTGTCAAGATGCAAGAAATTTATATTTACTAAGAATTATTTGTTTAAAGTTATAAGGAATGTCACTTTTGAATTGCTATAACCTGCTAGCTTAGTTAGCATGTTATGAGACGATGTATCCAGAATTTGCGCCGATTGATCATCAGCAATTAAAGGAAATAGGAACATAAGAGAATATAAAAATCTTTGTATGCTAGTCCAGTGTTCTTTTCTATACATATTTGGTTTATCACAGCACACCCAACTTACACTGTTCTATAAATGCGAAATTTAAGATTTCTTGAACAGAAATGACTGTTACAGACATTGTCCTGAATATGTAGGTACTTACTACACATTTATTTTTGTATAACGGTAATTATCATTCTATTCATTAAACTTCTCAGTGTACTATTAAATACTTACTATGACGTAGCCAATATTAACTAATAAGTCAACGTATTGAGTATAACCCCGTATTTTAGATTATATAACAAATTTTTAAATTATTTCGATCATTGGTTCTAAAACAATAAAATTTAACAAGTTACATAATGTGTAGAATGAAACGGAACATTGCGCTATTGGTCCATAAGTATGGCATTTATGGCAATGCTCTTCATTAATCACCGAGTTAATTTTAAAATTATTATTTTCAAATGCGTCACAATACACTTCCATAAAATTAGACGACGTAGTTAGTTCAGTTAATATGGCATAGTATTTAATGATTTGCGCATATTTTTCCTACAGGCGCGAGATACTTTATTGTTCAGAGTTCTTTGCATATGTATTTAACAAGTATATTTTATAGTCAAGTTTCCGAACATCTTTATTTATTGGCCAAAATGACACATAAATTAAGGTGACATATGCCCAGTGTGAGTTCGTACAATCGTCGGTGTAGTACCTTAAAGGTGAACATATCAGACGCTTTCATCTGAGACTGTGGCGCCAAGATTGCACAGGATCGACGCGTCCAAGTTAAAATCGATTACGCCTCCGCTTTGAAGCTATGAATATATTAACTGATCCGCATGATTGACTCATTGTTAAGATTCGGTGTCATAGCTGAACGAGTGTTCATATTGATCCGGAAAGAAAGTATAAGGATTGTGTAAGTTTTAAAATACATTTCTTATATCACATAAAATACCTGCAGCATCTGGCCTTTTAAAAGCTTGAAGTTAAACGATTTCATTTAAATAAAGGACAAAAAATTGTTTCCAATCATGGTATTGGTATTATCGTGAATGTATACGCAGGTTTAAGGTAAAAAAGGTGTACGAGGAAAAATGTCAGGTCGTGGACCGCGGATTCCTGTGTCAAGTGTCACGGGCAGGGCCGGGCAAGACACGGCGAGGCCAAAAGGCACGACCAGGCATTGTCTGGTGTCGCACGACGAGACGAATCATAACGCAGGCCCCATGACCCACGTCAACGCGGTCACGAACTCATTTTACGTGAACCTTTTCACCGGAATCCGTCAACGGACTGCTAAAAATCTCACCACTCTTTATTCCCACAACTGCAGCCAGCCGTTAAATTTCCTGTTTTCTTATTCACGACAATTTGATAAAATAGTAAAACCTAATTACCAAATATATTTTAGCTCAAACTCATGCGTTAAACTGTATTCTCGTCGAAGATCTGTTAAGACTTAGTTGAATTAATAAATACCATAAAAATAATAACACTTATTTTATGAAGAAGGTGATAGACGAGTGGTTTATCTGACTTTAAGTAATTGCTTCCACCTGATTGCCTACTTGTGGACATCCAAAACGCGCTTGGAGTTGCAGTTGTGTTAAATACCTTTAGAAGAATGGGCTCTAGTTACCGCACTTATGATGATATACACAAAATATGTACATATTACGAGTAAATACATTTGATTAAGTTTAGATTATTTAGTTTTACAAATATACAAGAAGATAACTAGTTAATCCTTAGAAAAGGTTATTCAAAGAGATGAAAATATTATGATGTAATAATTATATTAGGCAAACTCTTAATGAGAACTCTGAAATAGGGTTGATGAGGATTCTCTTCCTCTTCCTCTTAATGCGGAACTTCCTCATTTTTTCACGAATCGTCATCCGTTTCTACAAAATAATTTTTTAAAAAATCCTCCTCCTTTTCCTATCCCTTCTTATTAAAAGGAATTTTTAGTGGAAGTGACAAATAATCTGCCGGTTTATTATAATTAGAACAACTTGTTAAAATAGCTTTTTTTAGTTTGCTGCATTTTGTGACTAGATAATACTCTAAAAGTAATTTTTGATGACTCCGTGGCGCAGTTACCAAGTGTAACGACCTATTAATAATAATGAACATTATTATTAATTAGTCATAATAAAGATCAATTAAAATGAAAATAAGACGTTTAAGAACGTTTAATCACAATAAAAGTTAATAATATATATTTAAATTAAAGAAATATGTATTAGTATGAGAAAATGATATTACCAAAAATTGATTAAAAATAGTTAAAAATCATTTAAAATACTCAAAAAAGGGTATTTATTAAAAATATAGCAATATACGATCACTATTATGTCAATAAAATACAATTCCATACTTAGTGATTTCTAAGGGAAGTATTATGTACCGTGCGGGGACACAATTATACGATCGTACATATATAAGTACAGAGGTCGATCGCGACTCTTAGTACTATAGTGAAAGTACATTGTATGAACGTCCCATACCAAGATCATATAGAAGTAAGGTCTAATGGATAAAAGTGATAATATGTGAAGGCTCAGAGAAAAAATAATAAATATCTAATATATAAAATTCTCGTGTCACAGTTTTCGTTGCCATACTCCTCCGAAACGGCTTGACCGATTTTGATGAAATTTTTTGTGCTTATCCGGTATCTATGAGAATCGGCCAACATCTATTTTTCATCCCCCTAAATGTTAGGGGTAGTCCACCCCTAAATTTTTATTTTTATTTTTTAGACAAAATTTTTAATTTCTATTTTTGATACAACATACAAAAATACATACAATCCTCAATTTTCACCCCTCTACGTAGACGTAGTCGCGGGCAGCACGTAGTATAAATATAATGAAGAGCAATGAATGACTAGGGACTTTATAAGAGATATTACTATGGAGTTGCGTGGTACTTCTGTACGACGAAATGGTCTACGGTTAACGTGGAACCATGAATGGATATGTCTTCAGTGGTGGACATATCATCGATAGCTGGTGGTAGTTGGCGTCTTAGTGACCATCACTATGATACGTTGGCTGTGATTCGGCATAGTAAGAGTTTGGTGGTAGTTGGCGTCTTAGTGTGTTGCACTATGATACGTCGACTGATCATCTGACTTTGAGGAGTTTGGTGGTGGCTTGCATCTTAGTGTATTCCACTATGATACGTTGGCTATTACTTGGCTGGGGTGGGGTCCGTTGGTGGTTGGCGTCTTAGTGTTTACGCTATGATACGTCGACTATCATTCGGATCGTGAGTATGTTTCGACACTTCGTGTGTTCCGAGTATGTTCTAAACTTTGGAGCCGAAGTTGATTGGAGTTATATTGGTGTGGTGTGAGGGTGTGCCACCTACGCTTGTATTAATCTTGTATTAACTGATGTTTTTGCTTTCAGTCCCGAGACTATTAAAACTTCATCTAACTATTAAAACTTCACGCAGAACCGGTGGGCTAGCCAGAACCCACGGGTTTGGGTCCACCTACGCGATAGTCACATTGATGCGTGCGGCTATATGCAGTAATGCGTCTTGTGGTAGTTGCGGGTGATCTGCGCCTAATATCATTGCATCGTATGATTCTGGTTGACGGAGGTTCGGTGTATGCGGATAGGCTGTATGTTGGCGTGTTGACCTGCGATAGTTGTATTGATGCATGTTGCATTCAGTGACATTGCGTCTTACGACATTTGCTTGGGAGACGACGCTATTCATAATGGCCAAGTCTGCGTCTCGGTTTGATGCACATCTCAGTAGATTTGTCCAAGTCGGGTTCCTGATGATGGAACTGCAGACTGTCTGACCTCTCGTATACGTTTTAACATTATTAACGAATCTCAGTAAAGTTCCCACCGTTCGAACGAATAATGGCAACTTGCTGGTGGGTGAGACAAACTTGATCGAAAATACATTATACTCAACGTCAGAGACACTGACAAATAAATATATGTTGCCAATTATAAACCCTTCTGATGGCTAAACATAAAAATCACAACTGTGCCTATACCTGACGGTATAGGCACATATTGCAATGGTTGGTGGAGCATATGCGTTTACCTCATGTGGATGGTAACTGGCGGGAGAAAACCTCTCAAGGCTACGGCGATGCCGTGCAACGTTTTAACCATACCCTTGGGGTGAGTAGTGACTCATAACGCGCTCTGCGACGAAATGTCGTGCTAACTTTGTAATTGGTGGTGATGCCAAAACACTAACAATCACGTCTGCAGTCGCGGCGGTCTGGCAAAAGTGGTGGCGCTTACGGAGGGCTTATTATATCATAGGGCCAGAGTGCCTGATCTTAACACATGGCCAAAACCGTATTGACGTACATTCACGAAGACTGGATTTGTCGTCGGCTTGTATGACGTTTACACGCATTGACATGCGCGACTTCGGTCAGTTTGTGCTTACGCACTGCCAGACGGGCCAAGCCCTCTTTATGCTGATAAAACAGCTTTGCAATGGACTGCGGTCCTTTCCCCAACTTTTTGTCCCTCTTCTGAGGGGGGGGGGGGGGGGGGGGCGCAATATGTTGGTTGGCGCTCACCGCACACGGCGTTGGTGAGTGTTTTCATGGAGCCGTGTGCCTTCCCTACATTTTTATAAAATGTGGGGGAGCTGATGACTTGTATCGGGTATGTAAAATTGATGTGAGCCCTTTTCAAGAGAGAAGGGATATTAGGTTAAAATTATATTGTGAGCTCTTTACAAGTGTGAGAGTATACTATATAGGTACTCTGAGCCCGTCTCAAGCGAGTCGGGATTAGTTATTAAGAAAGCAATCTAGCATTATCTCTGGCTTATACCACGACTAGTGAATATTTGTCTATCCAAGATACACCTAAAAGAATCAAGTTACTAAATAAACACAACGTAAATAAGGTCCTACCGAACATGACGATCACAATAATACTTCATACGGCTAATTATTACCTTTAGAAAGATCCTATAGAAAGATCAATAAATTATCTTGGTCACGTAATAATGTTATATGATTTATTCATATAACGGAGCAGAAATATATATAATTTTATATAATTATATATATATGCACAAATGAGGGGGGGTTAAGTTACAATGAGGGGCGGGGGTCGTGGGTTCGATTCCCGCACGGGACATCTATTTGTGCGACCCACAGATAGGTGTTTCGCATCTGAGTGTTTGTCCACGTGAAGTTTATGTTGAACTTTATGGAGTAGTACGTCAGTATTTATCAGCCCCTCCAAGTGTTCCCATTGAACGCCTTTTTAGTGATGCTAGGTTGGTTTACGATGTGCTACGAAACCGTTTATTTAGCATCTAAATTATTATTTATTAAATTTAACTTACCAGAAATTAATTTTTTTTTCATCAATAATTTGAACTTAAATAATAAACAAAAAAATCTTTTCCTATAAAAGTAATTTGTTCATATCTTAAAAAATACGAAGGTTTTGTTTTAATTATAAAAGCTTAATAATATATATTTTTCCCAAAAAGAATATTTCTATTATGTTGTTACTTATTTCTCCTCCTCTTCCTCTTTCTCGTAGCTGATCCTCATCGTCAATATTTTTCTAAAAAATCCTCATACTCATCCTTATAACTACATCCTCATCACACCTACTCTGCAAATACGGCAATAGCGGCTAATTATGAAGGAGGCTAATTTTGTATATCCGCATCTGATGTATAGATATACATATAGACATACCACCCAAAAACATTTCAAAAGTTACACATACACATACATAAAAAGCAATGTAAATATAAGCTGTGTATCAAATGTCAGCTGACTATAATTATGTAATTTATTAAGATTATTAATTTATATTTATTATTTTTTTTTTTGTTCTTGGCACCATGCCGCGTGGATTAATTTTATTAGATAATATGTAATTTTAGATAGATTTAATGTCGTAAATATTAGATTACTAAAATTTATTAAGAACAAGATGGCAAAGATGGCTTACGTGATGGTAAAGTATCACCCGAGTTGTATAAGCCTTCCCAGCGTTTAAGGTAGGAAGCGAATTTTTTTTATATGAAAAATTGGCAAACGAGCTGGCGTTTCACCTGATGTTAAATGATAACCGCCGCCCATTGATTTTTTTTGTTTACTTATCAACCCACTCCTTTTATCTCCGGATCGCAAAATAGGTTGACTGATAGAAAATCGATAGTAAACCGCCTATATACAAAATTTGTGTAAAAGTTAAATACATAATTTATTATATTTTACGAAAAGTATAACGTCAAAGTTTTTTATTGATTCATTTTTTTAAATGATAATGTACTCTTAAAATTAAAGTAAAAATAAATACATAGGCATTATACATTTATTTATTTTTGTAATACTAGTAAACATTTTAATAACAATAACCACAAACGATTTTAGTAACAAGAATAAAGAAAATAATCTAAATGATAATTCAGTATTGATTACGAAAAGAACACAATATCCAATTTTATTAACAAGCTAATAAATTAAAATGGGTATCTAAATTATTTACTCATATCTTGCAATGTACACCTGTATCACACAGGTTTTAAAAGAACCAACTTTTCTTTATTTGCTTATTAATACTTAATATTTTGATAAGTATTTTCAAAATAAACTTATCCAACATTAGCAATTTAATGCTTAAAAGGATATGGAATGTCAACTGCTAAATGGCTCTGAAGTAAGCTATTCTTTATTTGGAAAGATCATACAGTCTTTCATACTTATATTAAAACATATAATAATCATAGAATAACTGTGAAGATTTTTTTCTTTTACTTTTATTTTGATAAATTTGTGGGTAATTTTAATGAAGATAAGACTCCTTAAATATAATAATTATATTAAAATCTGGTCAAGAATTTTTTTTTAAGTTGCAACATATTCAAGTATTGCAAAAGTAATTTAACGTAAATTACAATACCAAGAATAATCTATTCCGTAATGACTATTACTAAGTGTCTTATAATCACCAATAGCTTTTTACTCAGATTTGCTTTTAACAGTGTACAAAATCTGATTTGTTTGATGAATAAGATACAATGCACTCACAAATACAGCATTAGCTCTGAAATAAAAATAAATGATTTTAGTTTTAAGTTATAAAAAGACAATTTAAATGAAATGTTAGTTAAAATAAATGTGCAGGTTTTAGTTAGATAATTTTTTAAAGACCAAATTTTAAAACAAGGAAAACCAAAGGAAACATGAAAAATATCCTATTTTGGTACCTCAATGTAAAATCTTATAATTAACTATATATTGTCTCACTGTGACTTTTTCCATGAAAAAATATTAAACATACTAATTAAAACATGAAAAATACTTACTGTCCTTCTTTAAAATATTCCTTCAAGGTGTTAGAAAATCTCTTAGAATATTTAACAAACTCTCTTTTTCTTTGCTCCAATGCCTGTTTTCCTTGTCCAGGTGTGTATGTTGATACTTCATTTACAGCATCCAACAATTTTTTAATAGCTGAAGCTATTTCTCTGAAAGTAGAAAGAAAGAAAAGCAATTCACATTTGGTCCCAAGACAAAGTAACAAAATTTTAATAAAATCTCACTTTATTGTTTCTAAAAAAGTTTTCCTGTCTGTAATTTCATCAGGGATTCTGCTTAAAATTTTCTTTAAAGCTGCAGACTTTTTATTTAATTCCTGAAATGCTTCTTCAGATCGATTTAACCTTAAATCAGCACCTGAACAAAATTTATTTGTATTATTATTGTTCAATAAATTTATACAATCCAATAACTAATAACTAGTAGTTGTTTTAAATACATATAAATTAATTCACTAAGATTAAAAATCCTTACCAATATTATAAAGGCAAAAGTTTGTATGTATGGATGGATGTTTGTTACTCTTTCATGCAAATACCACTGAATGGATTTTAAAGAAACTTAACAATAATATAGCTTATACATCAGAATAAGACATAAGACATATACATCAGAATAAGACATAGGCTATAATTAATATACATATTTTTATGTTAATCTGTCTTTCTGTCTGAATGTTACACCTTCAGCCTATTCTACGCAGACATAGTTGTGGGCAGCAGCTAGTTATAAAATATTTTGAGATAGAGGGCACTTGATATGTTTGCAACTTCATGATGTGCAATGAATTATTACCTATGTATTGGTATCACTAGTTGCAAAAGAAGTGTGACTGCTTGCCCAATAAATGTTACACTTATTATTTTTCATCATCAAACAACCTGTTGGCTAGGTTCCACAATTATCAACCTTTATGAAAATGGAAAAACCAGACTGAATGTCCTTACTAGTTCAGAAAATAATTACTAAAAAATTGTCTACTAAAATCATACCACAAAATAAAGAGTAAACAGGAAAACTAATAACTTACAAAAGATAATAATCCACACCAGTTGTCATATTGATTGATTAACTTTCCTCAAAATCAGTTGAAAATTATTAAAAGCACTAAGAGAGTGTGGGTTCCAAGATTATATATCTTGGAGTATATAAAGAGCATTAGTAATTAAAAAAAAAAGCAAATTCTTACATTCAGTTTCAGTCAGAGTGCCTTGTAGTCTAAGCAAACTCTCATTCATATTAACTGGTATATCTGCTCTCCTCATTATACCAGCTACTAAGTCATAATTAAGTCCTGGCACAGCTGCTTCAGCTTTTGTTAAAGCTGCTCTTAAAGTTTGAGATGCACCTAAGTCATATTTTTCTAGCTGCAAATAAAATATTGCATTTTAGGGGTAAGATATCAAATTGTTTTAAGTTAGAACTAAAAGTATTAAAAGATGTATATAATAATAGTGTCACTAGAAAAGAGAACACATTGCTTAATGACACAAAAAATACAGGCACTGTCCTAATGAACAAACAATTTATTGCGATATCTGCTGACCGTGTCCAATGAATACCGTAGGAATATTTATCACCAAAAATTTATATTTATTCGTAGCATTAACATTATAACATGCATAAACTGTCTTACCTGAGTTAAAACGGGACGTATAAGTACTGGCAAAACTAAGGATGTAACAGGCAATTCATCGCCCATTGTCATTATGACCAGATTTTGATAATAATCTACTGCACACGAATAAAATCAATAATTAACGATTTCTACTTTTTAGTGCTTCTGTTCCAATCGAACACAATTACCAATGTAGTATATATAAGTAATATTTACCAGGAATATGGAAGGATCAAGGAAAATCAACATTGAAGAAAGAAAGTCATAGGCAAAATGAAGTCAAAGTATCAATGTCACAGATAGACACAGATTTTGGCATGGACAAAAAAAATCGATTTATAAAAATATCGATATTTTTCCAAATAAATATTGGTATATATCGTCGTAATTTTTATTACTGTATATCGATATTCGACATTTATTTTTGACTATGTCAATTTGATATATTTTTTAACGCAACTCTGGTTTGGTGTTTAGCGTGCACCTTAACCCTTTTTTTTGATAAAGGTTACATGGCCTGTTAAAAAGACTTTTAAGCCGATACCATGAAAATACTAATTACTATTAAACCATCAGTGTGAGACGTATATGATCCTGATGTTAACAAACAATTAACAATTTACGGATCTTTTCTTCAACAAATCAAAAAAAAGTTACAACAAAACATGCACATGTAGAAATTTAATGACTAAGTACAATTTTTTTATAATTTATCATTGGAAAAAGCATCAAATATTATTAAACGTCGGCTAACTTCAGTATCGATAAAGTTATTAACTAGTTAAATTCTTCAGCTACATAACGTGATACTTATGTCACTTTGCATGATTTTATTTAAAACTGCGTTGTTCAATGAGTCGCAATTATTAATAAATATTACTTTCTCATTTCTTTTTCACGAATTTTGAATGAATTGGAATTATAAATAATAAAAAAATATATCGATACATCGATTTATCGATATTTTTCACTCGATAATTATTGATAGTTTTCAAAAATGTCGATACGATAAATATCGATACATTTTTTTTTTTTCCCACTCGATAATTATTGATAGTTTTCAAAAATGTCGATACAAAGAAGAAGAAGAAGAAAAGAGAGGGAAATCAATCGATACATTTTTTTTACTTGATTTTCCAGCATGATAGGTGGACTTCAAAAACTCAATCTAGAGTACTTCCAATATGATAAATATAGGTAGCGAGTGACGTCATACTCGTATCGATTGTAAAATCGATAAATTTTTTTTGTAGAAAAATAATGAGTCACAGATCCGACACAGAGCACCCCAACTCCATGTGGTCTTGTGGTCCCTACCCCTAGAGTGAACATAAAAAGGCGGAGCCAGAACCTCGCGCCGGAGGTAGCGAGCGAAGGCCGAGTGGGTGAAGCGACACTCAGGGGCGACATAGCGAGTGTTCTGGCGAAGCACGTGGAAGAGTCAAATTTAATAATGAAATAATAATTATTAATTCATAATTAAATTTGACTCTAATAATGAGAATAAAATATGAATTTTAATTAAATGAAATATGAATTTTTTTTTACATTGAACAAAAAATTAAAATTTATGAAAGGTGAATATTTGAAAGGTGAAGGTAAAAAGAAAAATCTTCGTAATTTTAATAAAAAAAATCACTATTAATCTTAATTAGATAAGGCTTCTTGATATATAAAAATGTGCAATTACCTGTGGCAATTACGAAAAAACCTATCAATTTGTGTTAAATAGACATGAAATTAATTTACACTACTGATTAAAAAGATTTTATAAAATTTGTAATCGAGTTCCGAAATCGATATTGGCTGTATTGATATTTGAGTACCTAATCATATATTAAATTTAAAAAGATAAGTATTACCCGTTCTTTTCAATTTCCTCTTTAATATTTGTATTTGTAATGGTGGATAATATGTGCGCGTCTACTAGCACTAGTGAATTATGTACGTATTGTAATTTATATTTTATTTCTTTTTATAAAATTTTATTAGAATCTCAATCAGATCGTTCAGTACTTTTCAATTTTTTTGTGTCGTCATGGTGTTCTTGTAAAAAGTTTTGTTTGTTTAAAGTGTGGACAAGACGTGTTTTTGATTTAATATGAAAGTTTTTAAATGTTACAATGTAATAATTAAACCAAAGACGAAGAAGCGTCAGTGTTTTTTATTAATGCGACATTACCATTTGGAAAAGTGTGCGACTTCAAATATGTATGTATTTTTAACAAAAAATCTTTTAGTAGCTTTATATCTAACATGTTGTCAATAACAAAATGGAGGACTTTCTTAGTGAAAATAACGAGTTTTAAATATTTTTTTTTCTCGAAAACTATACGCAGCCAGATAATTCTACTTGTTGTTTATTTCATTAGTGATTTTTCTTTATCGAATAAAATTTTTTTGCGCCTGGTTAATCACACTGTGGTAATGGAAAATTTTACCATAAGATCTTTAAGAAACTAGACAGAACACAAGAAATAAGGTTGACATTGCGATTTAATAACGAGAAATACGGACGTGGGAATAAATCACATAACAAGTGAACAACTCTCGATCGATTTCAAAGCGACCTGACACACGGGTATATCATGTGTATCTATGAATTGGGAATTGCGTTTACCGGTGAGTTGATTAGATCCTGGTTCAGCACCTAGACAATACCCTCAACAAAAAGTAAACCTCTACAGAGTTAATGGTCACAGTTTCAGGGTTTATTGCCGCTTTTTACAAAACGGCTTGAGCATTACTGCAGATGTGTAATGTGAAAAACAGAAGACAACGATAGAGAAGCTAGCACATCTGCAACCAGCTTTGATCAATCAGTGGGCCCGCTACTCCTTCATGACAACGCACGACCTCAGACTACACAACAGGCAGTTCTAAGCTGCAAGAGTTGGGTTTGGAAGCTCTCCCTCACCCGCCAGACCCATTGGCGTATCTAGAATTATTTTTCAGGGCGGGCGTGGGCCCTTACTACAAAAAAATTGAAGACTGGCGTCGCATTAAAAAATTAACAGTTTGTCGCCGTTAATAATTTTTGAATAAAAACTAAGTACGTAAATAGATTTCTCGGCTGTAGATAATTATTTCATTTCAACTATTTTTTCAAGAAGTTTCTTAGGTATCCAGCCAAGAATTTCGAATCAGTAACCCAAAATACTGGGATGGGCACTAGACGATACTGGGGTGGGCATGGCCTAACCGGCCCCCCTTCTATATACGCCTATGGCTAGACCTTACACCTACTGACTATTACTTTTTCCAATATTTGGACAACTTTTTAACAGGAAAAAATTCAATTCCCGAGAAGCAATACAAATAAGAGTTTGTTGCCACCCGTTCAACTGATTTTTACAAAAGGACATCAATAAACTACCACTGAGTTGCATCGATTGCATCGGTGATTACTTTGAATAATAATAATAAAATTTAATACAAATTTTGAAATAATTCATATTAGTATTATTAATGTAACATTTATTGAACAAAAAATAATTTCAGTAATAAATACTAACAAAATTTTATTTTTCTAGTTCTTTATCTAACAATAAAATTCTACATTGTATCTAACAAACCCAGCCCACGCGGCATGGTGCCAAGAACGCAAGCTGCATTTCCTCACCGAATAGTTATCCTTAACCTTTGAGCGAGGAAAGAACCAGCCCTCTTGCCACCAGCCACAGCGATAAGTAGCAAACTTCCGCTCTCCATTCCCTCTGCTCGAGGCAAGTGTAGCAGGCACAATCACATTAGAAAAATACACATACCGCCGATCATGCGGAGCGGTCTGTACACGATTTTGTTATAATATATCCCAGATGTGTTAATTCACTAGACTTACGTGTTCGACATTCTCCTGACCACGAATCCGGACCGCTTCTACTACTATCAGATTTCTGTCGATGCCACCTTTGGCGTAAAACCACTGTCTGATGCGGAACGTAGTGCCCATCAAGTACTCATACGCGCTCTCTCGGTTTCTGCCGTGGGTGGCATTACAGATCAGCACATTGGGATGGGATCGATGGGAAGGTTTACCTCTAACAGAATTATCACTGCGCCATCGCTGACTCTGTCCCCGATATGGTACTTCAGATAATAGAACTTTTATTTTATTCAGATCCAAGCCCTGGCTCCGTCACTTAAAGTGCTAAAGTAGCAACTCACCATAAGCAGAAGAGTTATGGTGAGTTGGACAGTTGAGGTGGCGTCTAGGGATGTAAATACCAGCTACTTGAAAAATAAATACAACTTTGCCTGTAGATCCTTTAGAAGAGCCATCGCATCAGTAAGATTTGCCTTCCTTCTGGAACTCTGGTATCCTAGTCTCTCGCTTGGTCAAGGGAGTTCTATTCGTCATCATTTCTATCTCTTCAGAGACAGAGATGACTCATTAAAAGCCCCAGTTCTTTTTCCGTGTGTAGGCTTAATACACACGGAAAAAAGAAAAAAGGAACGTTTATAGATTTGAAATAAATATATTACACATGAAATTTGCGTTTTGTCGTACTGACCACTTTGATTTGAAACATCTATTTGGTTAAGAATTCCAAATTCAAATTCATAAATTCATTTAACTGGTATATTTGAGTTTTGAAAACAGTCAATTTATTTGTTTCTTCCTCATTATTTTATTCTTTGGCGTGGCTTATTACCGCACAATGGAAAACATGAAATATCAGCATTAAAATATCAGCATATTTATAAGTACGAGTTCTACCGTGGCACCAATGCTATAGAAACAACTCGAAGCATTAATTATGTGTACGGCGCTGGTGTCGCAAAAGAAAGCACGGTAAGTTTTGGTTTACAACGTATTCGTTCGTAAAATTTCGACCTTTAGAACCATCCCCGTGGACGGGCGGAGACCAAAGTGAAAATGAAGAATTAAAGGCTATTGTGGATGTGGATCCATCACAAAGCACTTCAGAGATGGCTGCAGACTTCAGGGTAAGTGATAAAACTGTAATATTCCACTTGAAGCAAATCGAGAAAGTAAAAAAAAGCTTGAACGATGGGTACCTCATAAATTGAGTGAATCGAACTTGCAAACACATGTCGACAGCTGTGTTACTTTTCTCAACCGACACAATAATGAAGGGATTTTAAATCAAATCATCACTTGTGATGAAAAGTGTTAAAAAACAGAAAAAGTTAAAAAGTAAAACAGAAAAAGTTACTTGTGAGTGTTTGGTGGACTAGCACCGTTGTCGTTAACTAAAGCTTTCTAAATCTGGCCAAACGATTACGGCAGATATCTATTATCAGCAACTGCAAACCATGAAGGAAGAACTAGCTGCTAAACATCCGGGATTCGTCAATCGCTCCAAGCCACTGCTGCTTCATGACGACGCAAGACCACACACTGCACAACAAACAACCACTAAGTTAGATAGCTACAATTGGAATGTCTGCGACATCCACTGTACTCCCTGGGCCTTACTCCAACAGATTACCATTTCTTCCAGGATTGAGACAACTAACAATTCAACTCCGATGCAGCAGTCCCAACCGCCTTCAAAGAGTTTATTGATTCTCGCCCCCTTGTTTTGTTTAGTAAATGTTGAAATTAACCTATGAGATGACAAAAGTGCATAGATAATAACGGTGCATATTTTGATTAATTAAATATATTTTACAAAAAAATGACTTTATATTCATACAAAACGCCAATTTTATACCTAATAATAATAGCGCTGCCTTACCAACGCCTTCTATTTCAACGCATCCAACAAATAGCTCAGAGAGTCAACGGTACGATCATGCCCGATCGCTTCGACACTTTGCGAAGAGATGTTGTATCCCCTGTCATTTTCTATCGGATATATCATTGGTATTGATCTTACCAACTACAACTCGATAAACCGCACTTTACCATCAACATCTCTTTGCATAGCCACATTGTAAAACTATTTGTCGCCCGCGGTATCTCCGGCCCGACACGACTTAACGAGCTTCACGAAGGCTACTCCAAACTCAAAGGCTGGCAACGCAATTGTGACTCCTCCGATGTTGTCAGTGACCATGCGCGGTGGTGATTGCTTACCATGAGATAACCCAATTGCTCGTTTGCCTCCTTATTCCCCAAAAAAAAAAACTCGTATTAAATGATTACCGCCAACCATGGGCGTCTGCAACAACCATAGCATAGATTTTAAAGGCGTTGCTACCTTTAAAATAATGGTGCGCGGTTACCTGAATCACCAGACCAAACGCGGAAGTATAACACTGTAACAATAATCACACTAGTCTTCTATGAGACCGTAGTACCCAGATGCCAAAGATTGTTTTTGTTGCATAGCTTCCGTTGGAAAATTTCGGTCAGAGCAGATAGACAGCGAAGACATAGGAAACGGAAACCTCCACGGAAAGAGTATAACAGAAATTATTTCCGATATGCACTTATGCAGTTAAAGCAGCTATAGTTACTACAAAAAATAAATGCCTAAAATCAATACCACTAAAACGAATTGGGCGCTTAACTCGTTAGCTCTAGTTTAAGTCCAGTTTAATACATTAAGAGATATATTAAGTTTATTTTTATTGTTATTAAATTTTAATATACTCAAAAGCTTACAAATTGTAACGAAACCATTTCGATCTTCTGCCTTTTTTGTCAGCTCGCCCTTTGTGATGTTTATTAATACAGTTAAACATTTGTCCATTCCACTTTTCGATGGTTACACTCCCAAGCAAGTGGAATGTAAAACCTTGGTTATGAGCATGATTATGAAAGTTGAAACGCTAACTAGATTTGTAACCAACTCATCCATAGAGAACTTTTGTAATTTGTTATTTGACATGGTCTAAAGGTCCTCGATACCAAGCCAAGCCATAAAATAAAAACCAAATTATTTGACATTTATGACTGTTGTGCTGGTGAAAATTTGACTATTGTAATTGTAAACTTGTAATCAAAATTTCAGTACTTAGTTATGTCTTATCTAAGCTTGTAATTTTAGTAAGTGTTTATATCATAGAAGAATTTTTACGTATTGATTATAAAATGGCTAAAAATACATCAAGTTCTGCATTCCGTAAAATAGACATCGATCAATATAATGAAGACAACTTCAAGGAAGATGAAGCTGAATCATCGGGTCCCACAGGCCCCGACGAGGGAGAAATCTGTTCTTTACTAAACCAATATCCTTTTTATATATTTCATTTTCTCATAACAAAAACTTACAATTTGCATCTAAAACGCTACTAGTATTACGTATTTTAAAACATATCTAACTGTTCCCGTACATAATAGTTTTGGCTAATATTCCGAATAGTAGAGAAATGTTAATAATTAAATATTATATAAGTTATAATCAATGAAAACCACTAGATTATGAGGAAAAAATTAACAAAGTTTTTAAATTTCATACAACTGAAATCCGTCATTACTGTGCGTCCATTATTCATTATAGACTATTATTTTAAGTTAAAAACTTACGTTTTCACTTCTTACGTTGTAAGAAGACACAAATACACGGATATATCATAAAAACAAGTTTCTACTTCATGAACATGTATTATTAACAATTTCTAATATTTAAAATTTGTGACTTGGGTACACTTAATGTCTCGAATATTAGGTTCAAAATGAGTCACAGATCCTTAGCCTTCGATGTTAGGTTTTTTTTTTATGACCACCCAGAAAACTTTAGTGTAACAGTACTCTTAGTATTTTTAAAGACTCTTTTTTAATAAAAAGAAGGGTATAATTTGGAAAAGTGTGTGAATTCTTAAATTTATACATGTTGTCAAACACAAAATGGCGGATTTATTTAGTGAAAATAAGTTTTAAATATTTTTTTTTTATTAAAAGTGTTTGCCTTGGTTTTCACGTATGTAATATTTAATTATTAACATTTCTCTATCGATTAAAATTTTTTCTAGCTTGAAAAACGAGACATACTGTTCGGAATTTTTACCATAGTTTTATTACAATTTGTACATGTGTAGCAGCATGTAAGTATTCGTTTCTTTTTGAACTTGTGAAAATGACAATGTCATGAAATTTTAATGTTGTGCATTAAAAATGAGAGCATTTTAATCAAAATGAAGAAACTAACTTGTATGTTGTAAATAAAAAAAAATGACGTACATTAGTAATTTAATTTACTATAATAGGGCCACCCTACAGCTACTGTTACATGAATTTGCAGACTTACTGAACTGCCTCAAAGAAAATCGATGTGAAGTAGAAGTTTTATAGTTTCTTTTTTTATCTGGTAAGTGAAGTAACTGGGTTACTACTTTTACTTATTTTTTAAAAGTTGTCAACCCATCTAAAAAGCTCTCAGGTTTTGTCATGCTCAATGATGGCAATAATCACTTAACATTAGATGAAACAGAACTTCCTTATCATAGTTATCATTATTAATATGATTAACATGAAGATGTAGAACAGTGATTCTCAACCTTTTTTTTTTTTTTTGTTGCGGCACACAAAAAAAAAAGATAAAATTATTTACTTACTACAACACACTGCATAAATAGTTTATGACAAAAATTTTAAATATACGAAATAAACTAATATATACTACAATAATAACTAAACGTTTATCAAGGGATTAATTACAAAATTAATAATAAAAATATTTTTAATGCGAAATTTGAGCTTGATGTTTTTTGATAATTTAATTTATATTTGGTCGTAAAAATGACAATGCTACTCTCATATCGTCTTCTACATTTACCAATCTTGATCTTTTTTTAGTTTTAATGTTGGCTAGTGCCAAAAAATATTTTTCTTTTTAAATGATATAATTTAATAATATTAACATTATTATATATTTGCAAAATTTGGTGGCACACAAAAGTGCCGCGGCACAGTGGTTGAGAATCACTGATGTAGAAGGTTTCCTTGACTTAAGAATACAGGAAGATACACAGAAGCTCTTAAGCTAGTTCTAGGTAATGCCCCCCTTGGATCTTCAAGCCAACAAGTGAAGGTAAGTTAAGGGTTACATAGACTTCCTCATTATAGTTCATAAATTTATCTGTTCAAAATTATTGTTGAGCCAAACAAGTTGTTGTAAAGGATCTATAACTTAATTGCCTTATTATAAGTATTTCAATTTTATTTTTACAGGATAATGCCCTAGCCATTACACTAAAAGTATTACTTGCAATAAAGTCTGCACAAATTGAGGAAGCTGTTGGAAACCTTTCCAGAGATGACATAGATATTCTAATGAAATATATCTATAGAGGTTTTGAGTACCCATCAGAAGGTTCCAGTGGACATCTGCTACTGTGGCATGAAAAAGCATACAACATTGGTGGCTCAGGTTCTATTGTTAGAGTTCTTTCTGATAGAATGAGAGTTTAAAATACATTTCAAATTTTTTTAACAATTATACAGTTATCTTCTAAGAGTTCAGAAAAATAAAAGCCTTGTCCACTTAGTTTCTTTTCCTTTCTTAATTCTTTTCAAAATAAATGGCCTATCTATATAACAGTTATTGCTCATCACTGGCAATTGTTAAGAAGAAACAGATTTGTGTCATACTCTATCACTATTATTACTAAAAATAACTATCTACTATTATTTCAATGAGATCATAGTTAAATTATTAAATAACATTAGAATACCAGAACATGTTGTCCCTGTGACCAGAAATTCAAAAGAATATAATATTTTATTTGTGTGATAAAATGCTATAATAGTTACAATTAAATGAGATGAAACTATAGTTATTATATTATGGGCTGAAAAATGATGATGATTGTAAGATTATATAAAGTTAAAAAAAAATCGTTCAAGTGCTAGGCGGACCATGCACGAAGGGTTCTGAAGTTACTTATTAAGCACAATGTAAAATGTAGTCCATGCGGATGGAGCCACATGAGAAAAGATAGTGTATGATATGAAGGTTTTTGATTTTTTTTATTATTAAATTTAAATAAAATAGTACATTCTGTTCAGTGAAGTGTTACATCACACAGAAATAATTTGTAGTTTTCTTAGTTTTAGAAACTGAAAAGTGTGATTACGGTGGTAGGGCCACACAGCACCCTCGGCTGTTGCACGAATGGGCAGGCTCGTCCGGGGAAGTAACACGGCCTAACAGAAGATCAGCATGAAGTGGCAGAATTAAACTTTTTGTGAGTTGTATAACCAAAGCTCCCGTTTTAAAAAATGTTTAATTTGCAAGCCCTCTGGTGTTGTCCAAGGGCCGCGGTCTTCACTTACCATTAGGGGAGCCGCCTGCTTGTTTGACTATTTTTCACTTAAAAAAAAAGAAGCCTGGCGTGAATTTAGTACTAAGCAGTGCTTAGTGTGACCACTGATCACACTAAACTGTTATCTTATGAGTAAGTATTTTACATTTAAAATGTAATCAAGTTTAAAGGTTATGGTATATTTACTAATCAAAAATTTTGCTATTCCAATTACGTAGGTGTTTTTCACAAGATGTTGGTTAATATTCCATTTCAACCTTTAATCTTCATTAGTGTTATACCTATAATGTATTCTAAAATCAGAGACATCTTAATACATGTTATTTATTCACATAATGTTTTGTATGCATAAAAATTAAAGAAATTTTAGTAGTTAGGTAGTAAATTAATACAAAACAATAAACATAAATTAAAAGGGGGATTTTTTTTTCACTTTGAATCATAATACCTTTTTCATATGCCCAATTAGGTACTCTTTTTAATTTGCGTCCTCTAGCTTCCAAATTTTATATTATTTTTTACTTATGTGATTGCCGAGGTCCAATGCGTTGCCAACCTTTTCGCAAAGTTCAGACGTCCACTCCTACGGCGGCTGACTATTTAAACTAAACGGTCCAATCAACTATATTTTATTTCACAGTGCCTAATGTTGCGAAGTATAAATATAAGGGGTGTCAACTATGCACGCGGTTTGCCTGATGGTAGCTGAATACCGCTGCCCCCTGGAAATTCACCAAACAACACAGCACAGCCACGGCCTAGGCAATTGTAGTTCGCGATCCCGATCAATTATACCGCCTAACGGAACATATCCTAAAAGGCCTAAATCACCCTAAACATATTAGCACGGGGGCTCTTTTCTTCGATGTCGCAAAGGCATTCGACAAAGTCTGGCACAACGGCTTGATTTACAAGCTGTTCTCACTCAAAGTGCCAGACAGGCTTGTACACACCATTCAGGCCTTCTTGTCGAACCGTTCCTTTCGATATCGAGTTGAGGGCGCCCTCTCCACAAGCCGCCGCCTCACGGCTGACGTTCCACAAGGCTCCTGCCTCTCACCCTTACTTTTTACGCTCTACACGAGCGATATACCAAAAGACCCCCACGTCAATCTCGCGCTTTTCGCGGATGACACGGCGCTCTTTTATTCAGACCGCAACCTTAGTCAACTAACCACTCGACTCCAAAGCGCCGCCAACTGCCTCGGCGATTGGTTCCGCAAATGGAGAATTGAAGTAAATCCCGAAAAGAGTGTGGCGATTCACTTCACACGAAGTACTTACCCGTCACATCTTTATAAAGGTCGTCGCCAATGCAGAAAGCTAGGGCAAAATCTCTTTAGGGCTGGGAGAAAAAGGTACAATATTTAGGATCACTTTCTTATGTCATTCAACGCGTCCGTAACCCGCTCGTCTCCGGCCGGCTAAGGAGAAAAAGGTACAATAAAATGTCCTTAGGAGTCAAACTTTCGACTAATCATGTCCTACGCATGTATTTTCGCCCACACATCGCTTGCACAGTGTAGCAGTCCGCCGCGCAACCGGTGCGCAGTGGTATCAACGCCTGACAACGGTCGACCTGCACAGTGATTGCAGACTCCCGATGATTCGCGAATTTTTCAAAGACCTGACCAAACGGTTCTTCGATAGAGCCGAACATCATCCCAACCCTCTGGTGGTAAGCGCAGCAAATTACCAACCCGATCCAAACGCGAGCGTCAACAAGCGTCGCCCGCGAAACGTCCTCATCGACCCGGTCGAGGGAGGGGACCTAGGTACGTCGGACCCACCGTCGGGGGTCGCGCCGGATAACACTACACACACAGTTAGTGTAGCAACAAACACATTAGTTCGCCCTCGCCTCCGAGCACGGCGAGACCAACACAACGCGTACACAAGGTACACCCGCGTTCCAGGGCGGTTCTCACCGCCCCCAGCCACCGATTAGCTAAAAAAACACAGTCGACGGCCATCGGGGTCTCGGTCCGCACCGCTACTTCGATGGCCCTTAGATGACATGCCGTAGTTAAACGCACGCATGAGCACATGCGCGGCCCTACCCACAGCGGAGGGCCCAAACCCGTGGGTTCTGGATAGCCCACCGGTTCTGCGTCAGATGAAGCTTTAATAGTCTCTGGACTGAAAGCACAAACATCAGTTAATACAAGATACAAGTGCGCGTTACTGTTACGCGCAAATAAAATTAAAATGCAATTTAAGGTGGATTAGATTTTTATTAACTAGCACTTTTATCATTTTTGACCAAATATTCTTAAGTTTCCTGATTACTGTAAATGTACAATTGCCTATTTTCTTCCTGATACTACTTGAAAAGAGGCGCCGCGGCGAGGGCAGTTTTCAGCGTACGATTGAACCGCGCACATAAATACAAAGTTACGGAACCGAGCAGGATGTGTTGCCGCCTGCCGCCTCTCACCTTTCCGACTCTCGCGCTCACCTAATATACGCAGCTGCGCGGCGCCTTGCCGCTTACTTCACAAGCGTCGTGAAATGCTTGGCGATTATGTTGCCAAACACTCAGTGTGAGCCTTCGGTTACCTAACTTACCGGAAGAAGCACACATGCTATTACTTTGTACCGGTCTTCTGTGACACCGTGGTACTTCCTCTTCGAGCTGTCGTTATACATGTATATTTTATTTCAATTAAAACTTAATTTCCTGTTTTATGTTGATATACTTACATATATTTTTCTGTAGATATTATATAGTTTATTTAAACATTCCCTTAAATTTTATGAATGAAATAGGTACTAAATAATCCTTTGGAATCAAATAGATAAAATAAACATGAGTGACAAATTTTGTTAACGAGAAATCCTGTTTGTTCAAGAAAGAAAATATTATATACTAACTGTGCCGCGAATTCGTCCGCGTGAAATTTAAAATAAATAAAGTTCTAAAATGTAGCTTATGTTACGCCTTACTACAGCAGCTATCTGCCAGTGAAATTCCTGTCAAAATCGGTCCTGCCGTTTCAGAGATTAGACGAAACACACAGAGACAAATATTTTAAAAATTGTAATTGTGGTATATGTACTGTGTATGGTTATGCATTTAATAAAAAGCGGTTATTTTAATATTACAAACACTCGAATTTTATTTATCTGTATGATTGCGAAAATGATTGTAAGTTACAATCTACTTAGGCCCCTGCGGCATATTCAAGACTGTGACCTAATATTGTTTAAGCGTTTAGGGTACAGATTATGAGTAATATTTTGGATGTGGGAAACTAGCACACCTAGTAATGAATCATTTTGCCATCAGTTTAAGTTTTATCGTACATTTTTAATATGCATTCATATAATAGAATGAATGTAATATGTGGAAAATCTAGAGATACCTACACAAATTCACGTGTTTATTTTTTAATTCTTATCAATAGGGAAATACAAAATTTACAAAAATGAAATTATAATATTAATGGTATTAAAAGTACAAAGGATTCTTTTATTTTTAATTTCTACAATCTTTATTGATCTAATATTTACAAGATTAAATCTATCTAAATTACATATTATCTAATAAACCTAATCCACGCTGGATGGTGCCAAGAACGCTAGCTGCATTTACAAAAACAATTTAATTAAAAATTGTAAATCCCAGATTTTCTTAAAACAGTCATTCTAACAATTTCTTCTTTTATAAAAAGACATAAACAAAAACATATATGGGAACTATTAAAATAATGAGCTTTAAAGAAGTTTCAAATTACATTAATGCTTTTTCTTAATTATCTCAAACATTTTAAAAAAAGGTCGTCTATTAAGTGAATGGCATGATATTCGCGACAGCCGCAGGCACCCGCCTGTCGCGGGCGAGTGTTAAAGAAAGTAATTGTTTAGTACTCGACTGGAGCCAATCTCTCGTCACTACGGGAGTGTACCATATAAAAGGCACCCAATGCACTTGTTTCTTGATAGTTTTTAACTGCACCTTCAATGTACACTTACTCTAATACTATGGAATTAATGGTGAGTTAATATCTTTGAATCGAACTCAAGTGATGTAAATATTGTTTTGAAACTTTGTTATACTGTTCGAAAGTCTACTTCCACATTGCGTAATCATTTATATAACTTGAATGATTTACCGCTTTTGAAATGGTACGAAATAATAATGCAGATAAAAGGAACTGGACCAATTTATTAGACATTGTATTGTTACATTTATTTGCGTCAAAATATAGTTTAATAACCTTTTAAGGACTTTGTTTTATATTGTCATCTAGGGTGATATTTAAATGAATACGTTTTATCCTGTTTGTTTCAGAAATTAATAACACTATTATGTTCTATATACTCCAACTTTGCGTCTGAACATACGCACATAATTCCGGTGGAACACTACAATACGGAACTACAAGATTTAGGACAGCACGTAGATATCCCGGAAACACCTGTTAGGGTTATTAAAATCACTAAAACCATCGCAGTGAAAGTTCCAGTGCCCTATCCCGTGAAAGTGCTGGAGAAAGTGCCGTACCCAGTGCACGTCTCCAAGCCGTACCCAGTACCCGTTCCGCAGATAGTTAGAGTGCCCCACGTCATCAACGTCGGGTCGAAGGGTAAAAGTGGACATGAGGCTTTGGACGGCAACGCCTACCAAGGCGGCAATCAGTTGGACGGCAACAGTTACCAGGTTCAAGAGCACCCCTCCTCAGATATAGGCCAGGGGTACAGCCCTGGCTCCGGCCACCAGGCGAGCGGAGGAAGCTACGGTCTTAGTCCGCAATCCGAGGGCGATGAGCACTTTTCGCAAGGCACCGATGAAGGTTACGGTGGATCCCATTCAAACGGGTACTATGGCCAGCCAGGCAGCCACGACAACAGCAATGCGTTCGAATCGAACAGTTACGATCAAGCTATTCAAAACTATTTAGACAATCACGGCCCGAGTGGCGGATCGTCTGTGCCACATTATTAACCCAGTAAGAAAATATATTTTCAATTGATGTCGTACCCCACGTATATGCTTTACTGTTTTGTTCAAGCGGAGGCTTAAACTTCTGTTTGTGTTATAGAAAACTCTCGAGTTATCACTTGTTGTTAGATGTGTACTTATTAATGTTATTAATTTTGTTTCGTATTTATAGTGTGTTCATTGTGTTGCATGAGTGAGAAATAAAAAAAATGTTTAAAGCGAATCAAAGCATTTTATTAAAACATAAGAAATCTAAAACGTTGCTGCTCTAAACGTTAATATTAAAATTAAACGCAAACCATAATTCCTAATACACACATATTTGTAAGTTTCATTAATAATAATAATAACATTAAACATAATTATAATTTAAATTAACATTGGAGACCTTTGTAACCGTGTTTCCTTTGCGCATTGTAAATATTCAATCGGATGAAATCCCAACGAAACTAGCTAATAATACATCACATTTATGCTTCTTTCCGCACGCAGGAATCGACTTACATTTAAAACAAAAGAACATCAAGAAATGTCTAATGAACATAGGGAGAAAAATGGCAAGTAAATTACGCGTAGTGATAGTATTATGTAAACGCTTAAATTTACTATCTGGTAACTCGACGAAAAAAATTAAGCGATAGTTACGTGTTGCGGCGGCACTGTAATGATTTTGCTCGTTATGTCACAAGCTGTGCTGTTTTTTTTTTTTAAACCGCAGGGAAAAAGTGCACTCGTTGTCGTTTTCCCTTCATCGCGTTGTCCGTGTCACTTGATGGTGCCTCGGTGCATGTGGTCTTCACTTTCAATATAGGACGTATCGCGACTTCCGATATCTCGTCTTCGTCTGAGACGTACATCCGGGTGAGATCTGATGCCACTGATGCAGTTTCACATAGGCTAAAGGAGATAAACACGATGATAAATAAAATGGTAAGCTAAATATTTGCTGCAATGACATAGGGAATTTAGTAAAATTAACAGGACTCATAAAACTTCACTTTACCGACTAATCCAAGCAAATAAATTAAAATGAAAAGTAAACTGACAATAATTCACATTGACCTGAAAATTAGTAAAAAATTTAAATTTTAAGTTATCTTTTGGAATTGCTTGTGGAAAACAATTTTTTTTATTATAAGTCATATGAACTTTTCTGGTGGTAGGGCAATGCAACACTTGCACGAATGGGCAGGTCCGTCCAGGTAAGTACCACGACCTCACAGAAAACCGGCGTATAGTAGAAGTGTTACACTTCTGCGTTTCGTCTGGTGAGTGAGGTAGCGGGGCCCACTTTTTTAAAAGATTGCAACGCATTTGCAACCATACGGGTGTTACAACTGTTCATAGGCGGCGGTTATCACTTAACATCAGGTGAACCGTCAGCTCGTTTGCCACTTTCTCACATAAAAAAAACTTTAACCCTAACGTTAGATTAATACAGATTCAGAGGGAGTCTGGTTATTATATATTATCGATTATACGCCGCGCCGACCGATTAAATTATAGTTCAAGTATCACTTACACGTTGGTGTAATTGATGTTGATCTAATTTGATCGTCGTAACGACATAGCTTTTAAATGCATATGATTTTTATTTTCATTAAATCCGACTCGTCTGTTTTTCTTTCTTTCTTTCTATCTCAATGTGAAGTCACGGACACAAAATACACCCAGCTGTAGAGGGACCATCTCGCGGAGGTGGTTGTCGCACAGATATTTGTCCTACGCCGAGATAGAAACCGCAACACGGCGCGACTATAACTAAAGTGTAATTGTTGTCGCCCACTACGTGCGTCATTCGGTTTTGTATGACTCAAGCTTACCTGTTGTCATAGTATTCAGGTTCCGTGTTAGGTACATTGTAGTTGGTCTCCGGCTTGGCACTCGTTGCAGATGGCAATACAAATTTCGCGAAGTCCGGCGGAGGGGACTTATCCACATTATCGTCGACCTTCTTCGTGACCGTTTCATCGGCCTTTTTCGTTAGGACCGAGCTAAAAGGACGTAATGGGTGAAAATACGTATTAAATCTCATCGTAATTTATAATATTTTTTACATATGAAATTGCCGTTCTTCAGTTCTAGCCATCTCAAACAAAAAAAAGTTTTGATTGACTGTGAATTCTAAATTCAAATTAATTTTGTTTTAAAAATTTTAAAAATTATTTTTTAATAATTTTGTTTTAATTTTGTGTTAAACACATTTTTTACAAAGTCAGTATTTTGTTCATTTATATTTTCATTACATTTGAAAATTTTTCGTCATAATGGATACTTTAAAACATCGTGTGATTATGGAATACGAATTCCGTCGTGGCACCAACGCGGCACAAACGGCACGTAACATCAACAACGTTTACAGAGACAACTTTACAAAGGAACACACAACCCGTTATTGGTTTGCCCTGTTCCGTTCTGGAAATGTTGACTTGAAAAATGAACCTCGCGGTCGACCGGACACTGGTCAATAATGTTAAATTAAAGGTGATTGTGGAAGCTGATGATACTTAATCTACAGCCGAGCTAGCAGCAGCCTTTGATGTAAATATCAAAACAATATTGGTTCCATTTGCGACAAATTAGCAAAGTAAAAGCTTGATAGATGGGTGCCCCACGAACTTAAAGATCGCCAGCGCCACGTACGAGTCGAGACCTGCCTCGCGTTGCTCAACAGGCACACCAATGAAAGAATTTCAAACTGAAATTTGGTGGTATAGTGTCGGTGTGATTCATCACAGCTTTTTACGTACCAACTATTACTTTTTACAAAATTTGGACAAGTTTTTAGCGGGTGTAAAATTCCCGAGAGGCAGTAGAAAATGCGTTTGAAGATTTTTACAAGGGCGTCAATAAACTACCACTGCATACATGGGTGATTACTTTGAATAACAGAAATGAAAAGTTTGAAAAAGAAAACTAACTAAGTTATTTTATACAAAACGATAATAATAGGGTAAATACCTAATATTAAGGGAGGCAGAGATATACGTGTGGTCATATTAGGTGTTCAAGATCGGTATGCTCTTACATAAACTAAATTATAAATCAGCTGGCCAGCATTGTTTTAATTTGCATTGAAAACATTTTACGAAACAAAACAACAAGTTAAGTTTCACCTTAAAAACTTCGTGCAAAACAACAAACCTGCCTACAATTGTACACAAGTATGGGTTCAGTTTCCAACTGGCCGAAGAAATTTACCGGCACGTGACATCACGTGCCGGTTGCCAGGCAATGTTCAATATTGCGGGCAACCGTGGTCCACCACCCCACCCACCCTCCGCCGACCCTCCCCCTGATAATGGAACGGGATAAGGGCGCACCGACCCGCTGAGGCCGTCCCCGCTTAATTGGGTCATTTCTCGTTATTTCACGTGAAAAACAAGACGTACCTATGTTTTCCCCTAATAATTTACCTGTTGTCTCAAGAATTAGAAACTTTTGATTAATTTTATGACTTCGAATTTTTCGGCACGAGTTTCGATATTTGATTTTATGAAGGAAAAAAATTGGCTTATGCTAATGGTACGATAAACTAGATTTGTTTTTAATATTTTTTTAATAATTATCGGATAGACAAATTGCTGCCGTTATATCTTATATTATTTGAGTTTATAAAAGGGTGTAAGTTTTCCACTAATGCGTTTGACAGGCATCTAGTTCAAATCTATTTATTTAGAATTTTAGGAAGGCATGAAAAAAAAGGTGTTTAGCGCTAGCTGCCTCAGTTCGTCCTCGAATATACGAGTACGAACTGAAGCAAATATGTACTTGAGAGCTTTTCTAATGAAGCAAATATTTTACTTGAGAGCTTTTGCTATTGATAATAAACCAGTGTCATAAATATATTTTATTTTATATGGAAAACTTACAGCTATTGATAAAAATAATTAAGCGACCAAATATCAAGTCCATCCGCCAGTTAGTCTATGTTGTTGTGAAAGCAACATTTTTATATACAAAGATATAAAATAAGAACAAAACTAGAAACCGACAAATATGCTGAAAATTAGTTCCACGCATAAAATACACATTATTTAAATGGCTTTTCTAATTAGCTGTGCGTTACGAATACTTATAAATAGGAATTAAGCTATTTACTTACCCATTGGAATCAAAAGATATTTTATATTCTTGAGATTTCTGAACCATTTTCAACCAATTCGGTGTCTGAATTTCCTCGATTGCGGAATTGTATGAGAAGCCAGGCCTGCAACACATACCAATGACTACATTCCCATTCAAAGTAATACACAGTACTAGTAACACACTTTTTTTTTTTGGGCTGGATGAGCCACTGTTGGCCTTAGGGGCCTTTACAGTTCCGACGGGCTTGAGGTGGCCTGGCGCACGAGGCGCCTAGCCTGAACCTCGGTAGTAACACACACAAATTATGTCTTATTATCCAAATTTTAACGTCAGCAAGTAGTGCCATACTAACATTGGTGTGAAATTGACGACAGCTCCGAGATGCTTCTGCTTGTTTACTTGATAGAAGTTATCAAGAGAGCTTGTATTAATAACACTGCTTTTGTCGGACATTAACACCACGTGTTCCGTACACGTGTTGTTCCGTTGTTTCGACTTTGTCACGCTGTTTAGCATTATTTCGCTCAGTTTGAATTTCAGTTTGGCTAAAACGGAAATTGCGAGTTAACTTTGAGAGTAAGCAACTTAATGTCTCGTGATGAACTTCTTCCTGCAGTCTTCTTAAATCAATCGGTGATTATATTCCATTAATTGCATTAGTAATAGAGCAGTCATAAAGTATCAAGATGTTCCGATGAAATTATTTGGAAGGATCTTTTACTCAGTTTTGTTTTTATTGGTTTTTTATAAATCATTGTGTGCGGGAAGTCGATGGATGTAGGTGGCTCAGAATCGTACTTCGTGGCAGTCTGTGGGGGAGGCCTATGTTCAGCACTGGACTCAAACAAGCTGAAATGATCATCATGAATCATTAAGTAAATTAATTTAATAGAAGTTTTATATCCACCTATGGACCGCATTAAGTTATAAAGATAGAGACGGATTCGTGAATATTTTAATATTTTTTCAAATATATTAAAGTTACATTGAAAAATGCACACATAATATAAATTGCTATTGTAAAAGTTTTGATTAACCGTTTGAAATACTCATACAGGTGTCAAAGAAATATAAGTATACCGAAAACAATAGTATTACGTATTATGATTATTAGACACAATATTCCTTATATACTTACTTTCGTCAATAGAAGAAATCTTACTTGCAACGTCAAATATTAAATCTGGCGTCCAGTCATAAGGTATTCGAATGAACACCTTACCAGAATCAACCGGCATGTCGAACCCGAGTTTGTTTAAAAGCTGTAGGAATTTCAGGTCTTTGCAGATGGATGCTTGTTCGCAATTCCAAGGGACCAGCGGAACAGGTTTCTTTAAAACTAAAAAAATACATAATAATTAAAAATCTTTACCGATCTGTAAAATATTTTTCAAACAAACTAATTAAGTAAAAAAGAAACAAAATTTGTCCTATACAACTCGCGCCACAGCGTCGTATTACAAGCCTCTCCTTCTAACAGTATGTTTTGTCTCTTTTAAAGTTAATATTTTTTATGGTTATTGGCAAGTAGCGTTAGACGTGTGTTCATTTATTGTCGCGATGGTAACGACACACTGTGTATATATATATATGTATTACTCTCGAAAAACATAACGCACACACATATATATATAATTGTTTGGCATGGTCTGCAGTTGAGAGGTGTCGTTAGAATCGTATTTACTGGTGAGTGACACTGGGTATATCTACTTGTTGTATAATAAATTTTAAATCATTAGTTCAGTTAAGAACTTTGAAACGATACTATGTTGCTTAACGTCGATAACAAGTGGTGAGTAGTGAATAAGTTAGTGAATTAATGTACTTACGAAGTGAATGATGGCAAACCGGAGACGCAAGTGGCATATCCTCCTTGTGAAAATTGGAGCGCATAAAGTTATAATTCTTTTGGATAAATTCAGCATCCCTCTCGTCATTTACTGCCTTCTTTTCCAGATAAATCTTCGCATAGCACGTATCGAGCAAAACAGCTTGCACCCAATCGAGAAATTTCGACTTTCCGTCTTGCGCCAGCTCCTCACAGATCTTTACTATTTCATCGTCTTTCATTTCTTTTGTCATCTGTACGATTTTTGAGTTTCTCTCCAATTCAGCTTTGAGAAACTTCTCGAATTCCTTTTTATTTATTACCAACTGCCTGAACAGTTCCTTTATTACCGAATCCCTTGCTTTAATAATACCGTCCTCTTTGAACATCTTCACGACTTCCCCGATTGCGTCTGGCATCGAGCTACACTGCATGTAGTTCCAACTCAACGATGAAATTTCGTCCTCTGTCCATCTTTAATGTTCGACACACGTTTAATTTCTAAATCAATGCGACAATAAGGCCCAAACGCGTGCATCAATTAATTTAATGCAGAATGCAAAGAGAGCTTAGATAGAGCTTAAATTAATATCAGCCATTCCATAACCTGAATCAAATCTTATCTCAGATAATTTAAAATACTGACTCAGAACCAAAAAGAGCACAATCATCAAGGAAAACACGCCGGTCAAATAGGATCAGACGACCTGTGAAATTCTAGTTAGTAAACAAAAACTATATGTTTAATAACTTTTCATTTCTCTCATAAACTTTAATTTAATTAGTACAATTACAACGTATTAAAAAGTTAGAAAAGAATATTTAGCTAAGTGATCTTTCTTGTCTTTGGGGCAGTAATGATGATGCAACTTTTTGTCGGAACTAAGATATAGTAAGAATAGCTAAACTTATTTTATTTATAACATTTTGCCATATCTTTTGGTTTAAAAGAGGCCTCCGCCGTACAGAGTGGATAAGAACATAGTCCATCACGCGACCCCGCTGCGGATTGGCGGACTGTGGTAGGCAACGCTACAGCTTCTGCCGTGCGGTTGCCTGGAGTGAAGTGAGTTTTATAATTTCGCGTTACAGCTCATCCTTCTCATCGTTCATGGACGGAGGTGAGATCATTTAACATCGATGAACCGCCTGCTCGTTTTCCAACTATTCACATAAAAACTAACAATTTCATTGGTGCCGGCAACGTGATTTAAACTCAGGTCGCCCGAGTTTGCCGAATCAACAAACGAAATACGGATGAGAAAGTGTGAGTAGTTTACCCGTCGTCGTTAGTGTTGGTCAGGCTGCTAGCTGTGGATTTCCTCTTGAGGGTAGTTTCGTTACAGTCCACTGTTCGTTGCGCCGCTTGTGTGGCCCCATTGCCGTCTAAGGTCAAGGCTAAAGGCTCAAGGCGGAAGTTGCAGAAACTGTCCAGCGTTTTCGGCTTCTTCATAAATGTGTTGATGACGTACTCAATGAGATCTGACCAGTCCTAAAATATAACACAACTACAATCGAACTTTCGTCTTATAGTTTCACGCACAGACGCTTTACTTACTAACCGGCCGATGATCTCATCGCGAGAAAATCTTGACATCTACGTTCGTTCTATTGCTTTTTAGCAAGGCTTGCAATAACACAAATAGTTGTGTAGGAATAGTCCCATACAGATTTACGCGAATACTGCACGTCGTTACATGAAATACGTTTCGGGCTTTTACCGCGTTTAAATCCAATTCAGACGTTTAAAACATTTTACAGTGTCCGTTGCCACGGAACAGACTGAGTTGTTTAACGTTTTAGCGCCATAGTTAACTCCTTGATATGAGCATGTTATAATAAAAATAATTTTATTAACAAATTCACACCTGTGAGTTAATCGGTAACAACATAATCTCATTTTGAATTAAAACTCATTTTCACATTCGAATCTATTGTACATGTTTTGATCATTTACGTACATCGCACATTTCAAATTCGTTTTTCAATATTAACGTGAAGGCTTTCAAAATCCTCGGCTGGTGCAGAGTCGTGACGCATTTCAGGTCGCCGCCAACATGATGCATCATTGTGAAAACACAGTCATTTATAAACTCCCCGTTGGACTCGTAATCTTCTAGAAGCATGCCATAGACATACATCATTTCCGGTACAGCGAACCTGAGGAGATTTGCGAGCAGAATGAAATGTCTCAACATGAATGAAATCTCAACAAGAACAATATGAACGCAAGTCTTAATACTAACTGTTTCACGTGATCGAGCATGCAGTTAGAACCCTCATACCCCGGCGTTTTCATAACGGCATCCAAAAAAATCAGTAAAATGTGGTTGGTAACAACCAGGTCCTGAAAATGAACTCAATGTAGTGCTTCTTATAATTAACATAAGCGAACCTAGTTAAAAAAAAATGATAATTTAAAGATATTTATGTTGTATGTTAAAACTTAGCTTAGCTACACACGAATCGCTTTAAGCGCAGCGTAATGTTTTTAAGAAAACTAGTATTGAAAAGATTCATTTCAAATACAAAAACTATATCTAAACTATTTATACTGTATGTGTATTGCCAAATAGTAACGAAACAGACGAAAAAACTTCAAACAAAATCTGAAGAGGCCAATAATAGAAACTGTTGTATTCAAACCTGCAAATATTGTTTATGTTGGTATCTGGGGTTGTAATTACGTATAAGCAACACTAAAAGTGAGCGCAACTCTTGAGTCTCGCACATCTTTATCAGAAGCGTTGCAAGCTTTTTTTGGTTGTCATCGGAAGTGAAGGCTGAATTTTTATATATTTCGATGGCTTGCACGAACTCTCGTATAGCAGTGACGACCTAAAATCGTTTTCAAAATTAACTCCCCGAAATCATTGTGTTCTAAGATTTCATTAAATGAAAACTGTACTCACCAAGTGCAGCCTCCGCGTATTGGACTTCAATTCGTTAAGGTCCAATTTCAGGGCGAGCTCGAATTGTTCGCACAGGTTGACACCCTCCGCTGTTAAATACGAAATAATATCGTATGACAGTACGGAACACACGTGCTCCAAGTCTAATTCTATTTGTGTGGCGAACTTTAAGAAATAAGTGACAAGCCAAAAGAAATGGGAGGTGTCGATTTCGAGTTGCAGATTCGTTAATATCTCGCTGTGGAGAGTCTGGACCAGCGAGTTGTAGCCTTTAAGAAGAAAATGAACCGTAAAGTCCTTGAGGATGTTTGAGATGTCATCGTTCGTCAGTGTGTGTTTGTTTTGCAATAAAATTCTGAAACACAAATGCGCGGTTGAACAATACCTTATCTTGCAGCTTAACTATATAAGAAAATTTATTTTTTAGTAAAACATTACAGACATGTTGGTTTTTGCCTTTTTGACTATTCTCTTTCTTTTCTTCTCCTGAAGTATAATGTTGGAGCGTGCATTGCTGTTTCTCAGGTTTGACGAGTGGGGTTTCTGGTGTATCGGCTTTTTAGCTGGCAACTCGTCTTCATTGCTTGATGTCGAAATTGATCCTCGATTTTCGATTTGGGTGCCGTAACCGCAGTCGGAATTCTCAGATATAACAACTTTTTTCTCATTTGTCCGTAGACCACTACTGCTGTTTTCCTTAGACCTATAATCAAGGCCAGTTTCGGAGTCGACCTAAAGTCATAAAATAAAATGATTTTATTTTTACCCGAATATATTTATTTTATTTTTTGATTATATGACCAAACAATTAAATGCAGAAAGCAATTCTTACTTTATCCTCTTTCATATCATCGCTGCTCCCACAGTCTTCATTAATCTTGCAGTTTCTAGTGGCAGAATTGCCGCCAGGTGAACGTTGTGCCTGGAACATCTGGTTGTCGTTGCTAATGTTCCTAGAAACTTCCCAATCATCGTTCATGGAATGAAGACGCTTCGTTGCTTTTGCCACTCCCACCGGTGTCCGACGAATCAGACATAGGTTCGGACGTCAAGATTGGCGAGGAATCGTTGCTACCTACACAGATTTCATGTTTTTATCGTGTCATTACATTTCATTTACATTATTATATATATTAGGCCTTACATGTGAAATTAGCGTTTTGTCGTACTGACCACTTTGATCTGAAATATCTCCTCTTTTGTTGAGAATTCAAAATTCAAATTTATTAATTCATTTAGCTCGTACATTTGAGTTTTGAAAACATTTGTTTCCTCCTCATTATTTCGGGAAAATAAAAAAATGTGGGGAAAGTAAAAAAACTTGAACGATGGGTAACTCGTGAATTGAGTGAATCGAACTTGCAAACACGCGTCGACTGCTGTGTTACTTTGCTTAACCGACACAATAACGAAGGGATTTTAAATCGAATCATTACTTGTGATGAAAATTGAATACTGTACGATAATCGGAAGCGCTCGTCGCTCGGCTGAACACTGGAGACCCAGCCAAATCCTGCCCTAAACGAAAATTGACTCAGAAAAAGTTAATTGTGAGTGTTGGGTGGACTAGCGCCGGTGTCGTTCACTACAGCTTTCTAAAATCTAGCCTAACAATTACGGCAGATATCTATTGTCAGCAACTGCAAACCATGAAGGAAGAACTAGGTGCTTAACAACCGAGATAGGTCAATCACTCTAGGCCACTGCTGCTTCACGACAACGCAAGACCACACACTGCACAACAAACAACCACTAAGTTAGATGAGCTACAATTGGAATGTCTGCGACATACATCATACTCCCCGGACCTTGCTCCAACAGATTACCATTTTTTTTTCGGGATTTGGACAACTTCTTACAAAGAAAAAAATTGAACTCCGATCCGGCAGTCCAAACCGCCTTCAAAGAGTTTATTCATTCTCGCCCCCAATGTTTTTTTTATTAATGGGATCAATGAACGACCTATGAGATGGCAAAAGTGCATAGATAACAACGGATGCACCGTTGTTATCTATGCACTTTGATTAATTAAATATATTTTACAAAAAAAAATGACAATAATTTCTTGTACTTACGCGATTACACATAATAAATGAAACTAATTTTACGGATTTATCGCGTTTATTTTTAATTTTAATTCCCGACGTTTCGAACCCTTTACAGCGTTCATGGTCACGGGACAGACTGAGGTGTTAGACGTCTGATTGTCATAGTTAACCCGGGCTACCGTCAGTTTTTGTATTATTAATTTTGTGTCCGATCTATGCAGAGGGAGCTAATTGTATCTTGTCTTGCAGTAGTGGTTCTTTTGGGCTTAGATTTAATTTTATTGATGACAGGATCCCAAGCTGATGGTAGTACCCAATCCTCTTCTTTATTGAAATTAGGGTGTTTTTTAATTTCAATAGCCTCGCGAATCATCCTTGGGAGGAATCGGTGTTCTTTTACAAGGATCTGTGGTCTATCAAACCTGATGTAGTGGTTGGGCCGATTTAGATTGTGCTCACAAAGTGCAGACTTGTTTAATCTACAATGTTTTATGTCAGCTATATGTTCTTTCACGCGGGTTTTTATCGACCTAAATCGGCCCGACCACTATGACACGGGTTAACTATGACAATCAGACGTCTAACACCTCAGTCTGTCCCGTGACCATGAACGCTGTAAAGGGTCCGAAACGTCGGGAATTAAAATTAAAAATAAACGCGATAAATCCGTAAAATTAGTTTCATTTAAAAAAAAATACTTTATATTCCACCCGTACAAAACGCCAATATCATATGTAAGGACCTAATATATCATACATAATATATCATATTTCTTATTTGAAATTATATTTGGTTCTTTTAGAACTTGTGCCAGGCAAAACCGTTAGGATTACAACTGCTAGCAACTGTATCGTCGAAATTCATCCAAAATCTTTTTTTTTTTTTATTGGATAAAGTGGCAAGCATGCTGACGTTTCACCTGGTGTTAAGTGATAACCACCGCACACGAGTCAGACTCGCGCACGCAGGGTTTGTTGTATTTTTTATTCCGTTTTTAATATTTGTTGTTATAGCGGCATCAGAAATAAATCCTCTGTGAAAATGTCAACCGTTTTAACTATCACGATTCAGACGAGAGAAACAGCCTGGTAGCAGACGAACCGACAGACAGCGGAGTCTAAGTAATGGGGTCACTTTTGGGTACGGAACCCTAAAAATTCATTCTGCAAAACTTATCCTTGCAATCCAGATTAGGTCATTATGAATATTGTACACATTTTTATAATTTTATACGCGGCAGTGTCAAATGTCCATGAAACAGACGTCGCGTTTTGAAATGACCACAGACACGGAAATTTTGCAAAGTCAGGTCAATAATGGTTACCTCGGTCTAATGGCGATGTGTTGCTCTCATTGTCCTCAGAACTTTCAGATATATAAGCCTCAAGCCAGAAATTAAGAAGTTTATGTAAAGTTGAAACATGCTGATCTTTATATAGCAAGGCTATTAATTGTACCATTGTAACTGCCCACTTTGTCTGGAAGGAAATATTTGAAAGTGTCGTAAAAATTGAAATAATAAAATTCATTTATTTCTGCAATTCAAAAATCTAAAAATTTCGGCCAATACCGTTAACACACAGGTACTTCATGAAAACTTACCGCATCGGGTATACCCATGAGCTTCATGAGGACTTTGTCAAAATTTTGACTGAACAGATTCCACAACAACTGATTTTGTACGGTATGAGGTGGGCCAACGTATGTAGGGCTTAAGTTGTTTATGTCCTCAGGTATGTGCAGAACATTCCGCAGAAATAACAAAATATTGCTAATATTTGTGCATTGATCTTGAGAGAGTTTTGCTTTTTGTTTGACATTAGAGTTCTTCTTCAGAAAATCAATTATCGCTTTTGTAGCCCGATTGTCCGTTAATGCAACTTTAGTTGTTATAAGTAAGTTGTTGATCTCAAATATCACGTGTCTCCTAAAGTCAGTTTTAGATACTGCATCGACGGAAACTAAGCATTCTATCGGAATTGTTAGATTTACAAAAATCTTCAACAATAGTTCTATTGTTTTATCTTCTTTGGCGTTGATTAATAAAGGTATAAGATCTTTTTTTATGTTTTGACCAAAACTTATGCTTCTACGATAGGTGCATAAGTATTTGTCTTCAGTCAAAATATTATTTAAAATTGTTTCTAGGGCAGCTGTAATAAATATCAAATATTAAAAGCTTAAAACCATTACAGAGTTCAGCAAATAAGCAAAATCTTACCATTGCAGTGTTCATTTATGTGATATCCATCTGAATGAAGAAATCCAAGATTACTAAATGTACTATGGATCTGAGGACTCCTGTGGACCCACTCCATTTTTATCTAATAACAAAAGACCATGAAATACATTAAAATTTACCACTGTGCAATTTAATTTACCTTACCAAAATAAACAAAAATTAAGAGGTAATGAGGTAAATAAAGTTTGAATTTAAAAATTCTTTTAAAATCATTCAATGTAAAAATAAAGCCAAAAGGTACATGCATGTGTGTATATGTATATACAGCGTGTCGTTACCAACGCGACAATAAATGAACACACATCTAACGCTACTTGCCAATAATCATAAAAAAATATTAACGTTAAACAAAATCCATAAGTAAAAAAAATATTTTTCCAACAAACTAATTAAGTAAAAAAGAAACAAAATTTGCAACATCCTATACAGCTCGCGCCATAGCGTCGCAGAGACCTCGCGGATCTTATGGGTCTGCCGTATGGCGAACAGCCTCGACCTCTAAAGCATGCGCCAGTGCTTCCTTTAGCGAGGTATGGTGACGAAGCCTCACTGCAGCTCTGACCTCCACGGTCTTTGATTCCGTCCATAAATGCTTGAACAATATTCGTGTCTACCATCTTGGTGTCGGCTCCTGGGTGTGCCTTCCTGACGAGTTTTTCAATTTCCAACGCCCATTGTTGTAGTCCTTCTCCTGAGCGTTGGACTCGGTCACGCAGTTGGGCACGGAACACGTGCTCCAGGTGTCGCTCCCCGTATCTGGATTCAAGTGCCTCCATCAGGTCTTGGAACCCATTTCCTGTACGTGGCAGTGCTTCCAGGACCGACAAAGCTTGCCCTCTGAGCGCAACAGTGAGAGCGGTCAGGCATTGCTCTTCCGTCCATCCGTTGGCAGTAGCAACAGTCTGGAATTGCCGACGATAAGCGTGCCAAGAAGTAGTGCCGTCGTATGGCGGCACTTTCACTTTTAGTCCTTGTGCCACTCCAGTAGTGCCACTAGACATCGCGATTCCCGTGGTTTCAAGGCGCACTACTTTCTTCTGTAGTTCGGTGAGGCCGGTTTTCACATTTTCAACATCCAATCCTAACCCGGTAACTCGTTCTTCCACTACGTCGAAATCTTTTCGAAGTTTAATCACCGTGTTACTAACATCATTTATAGCCCAAAGCGCCTTTTCTTGGAGGTCTTTTTTGTTGCTCTTGTGATTCTCGAATCGCTCTGATTTCAGCCTTTTGAAACTCTTGAATCGTAGTCAGCTTGCGTTCTTGTGACTCTTGCAAAGCGCTAATTAGTTCAATTAAACTTCCAAATTGAAGAGCCATTTCAGGGGCTGCAGAAGTTACGGTGCCGTTGGTGGGCGTGGCAAGGTGGGCGGGGCCAGTGGGCGTGGCCCGGTGGGTGGAGTCAGTGGACGGTGCTTGCACCAAAGGGGGCGGGGCCTGCGTCCGAGTGGGCGGGGCTTGCGCCTGGATGGGCGGAGTCTGAGGGGCGTGGTCAGTGGGCGTGGCCTGGTCGGTGGGGCCAGTGGGCGGGGCTTGGTCCCCAGTGGCTGTGGCCTCGGCAGCTCGTGCCCCTGTCCTGACACCCTCCTTGAAGTCCTCTCTCGGAATCAATGGCATCTCCAAATCCCATTTCTGACACCAGTTGTTACGTGTTCGGGGTTCGAAGGATTTGGAGAGAAATACCTGCTGACTCTTTTGAAGACTTTATTTACTAGCGCTAGGTCCAACACAAAGCACTAGGTCCAATCACTAAGCACTAACGATGTCCTAGATTGTAGCCAAGTCGTAGGTTTCACTGATATCGCTCTTGATCACTAGTTTTCACTCCGAAGTCGCCTCGAAGGTAGCTCAAACTGAACTGTCATCGCTCGCCTCCCTGCGGCTTTTTATATGGGCCGAGACCGGTTCCGGACTAATCCAGAAAGATCATTCCTGGAACGTAACCGACACGCACGAACATGTTCGTGATTCCGGAAAGTTCGCGAATGTACCCGGTTTTCGAGACTATAGTTCCACAGCAGTTCCTCTAACGCCATCTAGTGTTGAATAGGGGGGTTTTAAGTCGTATTTGTTCTTTAGTGGTTTTAATAGTTGACGCTAGATGGCGTTCGTTCCTTTGTGTGTTCATAACAATATAATGTCTATGAATGACAATAATAAAAAAATATTTTTTAACAGAAAAGTCTAAAACTCCTCATAGGTGAAATTTCGACCGACAAAGAGACCATTGCAAGAAGTTCCGTTACCTTTCTCGGCTTAAATTAAATTAATTTGTAATTGGCATACACAAAAATTCTTTAAATTCTCTAAATATTGTCAGGACATTCAGTGAAATATTTCAAAACAATAGCATAAAGGGGCTTACACTTACTGTTTAGTTGTGTTTCTGTGATTCCGATAATGGTACAATCAAGAAATAGAACCAAACTACAATATAATTATTTTTAGTCAAAAAGTCCTAATATGAATATGCTTTAACATTATTAAGCATATTAACACTTAGCTTTTGTAATATATTTAATGTTAACGCTTCTTTCAACCAACATTCACAACAAGCTCACCTAAGAAAAGATTTCACTAACCACTTTTACTTCCGTGTATGTTTTTAGAATTATTGAAAATTTGTACGCATAAGGCTTTTGAAATTATAGTAAGATGTTACAAAACGTATGTTTGCCACGTGAATCTGCGCATCGTTTTCCTAAGCGCTAATAGTAGGTCACTGTAGTCGCGTGTAGGGTACACGTGCGGTCTTAGGCGTAATACCCCTCACCTCTCTACACCGCGCCCCACCCGTAGTTTTTCGCGATCGCCTACGTAAGTGATATTGAAACAAAGGACCAATATCTTAAATTTTAATGCACACTTTCCCAAAGATAGCATTAATATTGCTTACTATTTTTATCCATATTAATATTATGTGCAGATAATTAAAACAATCACTCCGTATTAAATTGTATTAGGTAGTGAAATTGTAAACGAAGAGTAAAGCAGAATCAGAAATTATAATCCCATATAAAATAGTTAAATTGTGACTTGTGTGAAAAATTTGCATGTTACTATTACAAATTAATAATTCATTTTTCATGTTAATATTTGATCTAATTCTAAATTATCAATTTTGGCAGCTTCTTTTTTTTAACAGATTTTCTTTTACATACTACTCACACAATCTTTTTAAAAAAAATAGTCAATACTACTGTGACTGCATAACAGCAGTTTAATTGTACAAAGATCTGTTTTAAAGACACATTCTTTAATTTTAATAGAATGTGTTGACTTGCCTAAGACATAACAAATTCTGATTAGTTAAGTTCAGGGTTGGTAGAAGTAATTATATTTTAATGTCATTGGACTTAATAAAATCGAGAATCTTTTTCTTTCAACTTGATCTTCAAGTTTTAAAATTTAAAAAAAGATTCTGCAACATGATTCTCTAGACTGAGATTAGATCAGCTTATTTGTGAGGGCTTATGTGTGTTTACAGAGGGATAAATAAATCTGTGTAATATTGAATGCTCCATATTTATACAGCGTGTCTTTACCACCGCGACAATAAATGAACACACATCTAACGCTACTTGCCAATATTCATAAAAAAATATTAACGTTAAAAAAATCCATAATTAAGAAAAAAATATTTTTCAAACAAACTATTTAAGTAAAAAGAAACAAAATTTGTAACATCCTATACAACTACATCTGATTGATTCATTCGTTGCCACAGCGACGCATTACAAGCCTTTCCTTCTAACAGTATGTTTTGTCTCTTTTAAATTCATTCAACCCATTCATATGCTTCGTGACCTTTACAAATGAACTTTACAATAAAGTTTTATACGTAAGGGTGTTCTAATATTCTTTGTTTTGGAAAATTTGATAACTCGTTAAATATTGATGTTTAAAGAATGTAAATCTTTAATACAATTTTAAAGAGTTATCCTCTATATGTGTTTTCATTTATTGTCGAGATGGTAAAGACACGCTGTATATAACTAGTAGACCGGACAGACATTGCCCTTTACACACGACTTAAGTCCGATAAAAACATATAAATAAAAAATAAAATTAAAACTTGTGAATCTAAACCATTCTCCAATCGACCAGAAGACACAAAAATTAAAATTAAATTAAATTAAATTTGGTCATCAGTTCATTAAAATCGGCCCAGGCATTCAGTGACATACACAAGTACAGAAGAATTATGTATATAAAGATAGCAACTAAACAGCTTCACATTTAGTTATCCATCTCATTTTACAAAATTAGTTTTAAATTAAATTTTATTTTTATTAAAATAATTTTTCGTTACTTTCGCCAATATACCAAGTTTAAATAAGAATTCATTGCTATTTAAAAAAAACTGTGCTGTATGCGAGAAAGTAGC